GGACTCAATGTGTTTTCTATTTTGAAACCTGTAAACTTGCATTTTAATAGGCGTGTGAGCAGGAATAATCCAAGAACAGCATTACTGGGCTCTGATTTGTTGTGAAAATATGACAACCACCATGGGTCAACAGACAGTGTAGAGGATATGAGTACTCAGACATGCCTGGGGAGTACTGTGAAGACACACGAAATCCCCAAAGGAAGGACAGCCTGCAGGTTTTATAGATAGTAGCAAAAAAGAAAATATACACTCAAACAATTAGTTATCAGCCTTATGTGCACGAGTGCAAAGGTTTATTTGCATAATCGATCAAGACAATCTTCATCCTCTTTTATAAAACTTCTTGCAAGTGAAATATTACTAAGAATTTGTGACTTGTTTGGTTTCTTTTCAATTAAAAAGGTCAGTAACTTTCTAATGTAATTTTTATTTTCTTCTTGAATAAGCCACAGTAAAACCATATAGCCAAAAATGCTTTATTTCACCATTAGCCATATAACCAATATGCATAAAATGGTGGCTATATTTTTGTTCAAAACAGTTCCAGAACCCAAGAAAGCTATACTGAAAACATTAAGCAACACTTTATTCCTATAAAAATAAAAAAGAAAAAGTATACATTCATTTCAAGAAGTGTCTACACTTTTAAACAATAAATTAAACTTTGTAATATGAACATCAATTTACATTTCAAATGATTTAAATGAAAAGTACAGCAGAGGATACAAAATAATCTCTTTCCTTACCTTTCAAATACATTCTTTTGTTCCTTTAATGCACTGGCACCTAGGATCTCAGAAGAAACTACAGAGTGCTACAGGAAAAAGAAAAATTAAAAAAAACAAAAAACAAAACCAGACAGAGTTCCTGAATGGATAATATCTTCCAAGATTTTTCTACATCCCTCACAGAAACACTAACTGAACACATATGAAAATACAAACTTAGTGACTAGAATCTTTTGCAAAACTTGCAAAAAAACCCAAACAACTTTGGCTTTCCCAACTGTTATGTAATTGATTCTACACTATTAAGCACATTTATGTCTCAGTCATAATCAAGGTCAGTTTTATACAATACATCATTTGATAGAATAAACAGCTGGCAGATTTTCAAAGCCTTTATAGGACTGTCCCCATTATTTATCTTGTATCTCTCTATTAAGGTTACACAATGAAGTGTGAAAATGTTCACTGCACAGGTCACTGGAATATAAGCACTGATACCTGTCATTTATTTTGCAAAACCTAGATTAGAAATCAATTTACATTTGAGTGCATATAATAATTCCCCACTTAATTTCTACTGATGGCAATTTAATTCCTGTTAAAAGGTAAGTTTCATTCATGTGTGCAAAGCTCTGAATTGGAAGGGCAATCAAGATAAAGAGCATCTCAACTGCTACCACACCAACCTGCTGCTGAACTGAAGCAAACGAAGCCCACACCTTTTTTCTAGAATAGAGGGCCTCAATATTCTTGCAAACTCATATAGATACACCTGATCTTACTTTCAACTAGACAGGTTAGATAACACAACTACAATCCCACTAAGATCAATATAGACTGGATTTACTGAGCAGGCTTTCAGTCTCTTCCCTAAGGAAAGCAGCCCTTTCTCCTTCCTCCCAAACCAGGATTGCAATCAACTCTTTGCAAGAAAGTTGAGAAGTTATCCAAGCAGTTGGGCTGATGATGCAATTTTTGTGCTTTAGTGACCATAGTGCATACTAGCTGAGAACTGGTTTGTTTTATGACTACTTAAGATGCACTCACAGCAAAGAAGATAATTCTAGCAGCTAGTCTTTTCACCAATTCTTTTTCCTTGTAAAAGGTATGCCTTGTATAGAATTTGGTAAACAGCCATTCTTTACTTGAAGATTCAGATTTTAACTTTTTTTTTTTTTTAAGCATAAATTCTAGCTTGATGCAAGATGACTTCTGATGTTTGGGAGAGCAAGCTCCAAGGAGTTCCTATTTACAGAATGTTTATTCTGCAAAAGGCTGATAGAAATACGATGCAACATTGGTTTCAGCTGGTACCTGATGTTAGGTAAGAGATTCAACAGAATTAGAAAAGCATCTGCTTCCTCCCAGCATGTGGGGCAACCTAACTAGTCACCCAGCCACATTTGGATTTCATTTATGTCTCAGAAGAAGATATCAAATGAAAACAACCAAAATAATTTTAAAGGGAAGAGATTTCAGGTGTTTGTTTGTTTGTTTGTTTTGGTTTTTTGTTTTGTTTTGTTTTTTTAATGTTACTTGAAAGCACAAACCAGTAAATGAGGAAAATGTTCCACTTAAAATTATTTTCTAGGTCAGTTTGACAAAAATTAAATCCCACCAACAGTAGGGCTCTTTACTACAGAAATTGCTCCAAAAGAATTGATGTGTTTAAAACACAGAAGAGGTCTGCAAAAGGAAAAAAAAAAACGTATTTCCCATCCCTACCTTAGCTATTAAAAACATTTTCATCTTCACAAATTTTTTTGTCTGTTTTTATTTTTAAATAAAACTCAGGTCTTATCCGCCCTGAACAAAGCATTTCCTACATGCGTTTTCATATATCTTTATGATTTCTACCACTGTTGATAGCACTGTTTAAATTCCTCAGAAAGGAGCTCAGTTCAGGCTGGTCTGAATACCACATTGCACGTTCAGCAGGTGTAAGTAACATCCTATCTTAAGCAATGGTAACATCACTTTGCCCATTTAGGACAAAGCCAGTTTTACAGTCGTGGGAAACCTCAGTGTGTTTTTATAAGGTAAAACAATGACATTTCAGTAAACAAAACCATGAAAGCCAAGTAAATAGAAGTTGAACAGCTAACAATAAACTGAAGTGCTTCACTAATGTCTATTAAAATCAGTGCTTTAATATTTTAAATACAAAGCTAATTAAAGACACAAAACTTGCAGCTAAGCCCACAATAACACACAATCTAAGACTCTTATCCAAGTAGGTTGCAAGTGAATTAGGAGAGAGTCAATAAACCCACATTCTACTCTCCATTCCCACAGTCACCTCTTGATATGAATGTCAAAAAAAAAAAAAAAAGACAATAATTACTGGTCTCTTAACTACAGCCAAAACTAAACAACATCAACAGTCCACACAATTTGTCTTTTCCATATTTCCATAATATTACTGATCCTCAATATTTTTTTTATATGAGTGGTAAGGTCACTATCGTCACATGGTTAGTTGAAGCTGAAAAATGGTTAAATCTATCAATATTATGGGCTACTCCTTCCTTTTCATTCAGAGAAACTTACTTTTTTTTTTTAGGATGGCGAGTTTCACTGACTGTGGGTACTACAGTTTGAAGCTTGTACAGCTACCAAACAGCTGGAATATTAAATATGTTAAAGTACACTATAACTAAATCATATTGCATTAGATTGCTATATTTAAACTGTTAATGTAATACTATTGTTAAAACAGACAGCCATCTGAGATGGTTTAACACTACCAGTGTCAGAACTTAAATGCAAGAGAATCCATTTAATCAAAACATTATGTTTTATATAATGAATTAATCATTCATTTGGCTTTCAACTGCCTTTGAACAAAGTATTTCATGACACAACTTTATCTTCTATATAGCTTCAATTAATAAATGCTTTTAACCAAATAGACTGATTGCAGGTTACTAATCGAAATACAAACATTTCTCAGCACGTGTTCTCTCTGGAAAGGCCTTTTGTGATAGAATAAAATAAACTTGCACTTGGATGCTATATTTTAGGATATAAAAGTAAGGCCATTATCAGTGAAATGACAATGTTTAAACTATAATTGATTGAATATTAACCATGTGCATCTATTTTCAACATTTTCATTCAGGGGCCATTTATGCATTCAGTCTGACACACAAGAATACTATCTACAGGGAAGAGCTTTTGTTGTAAAACAATATAATCTTATACTTGTAATAAATTCAATGCATAGTTCGTTATATAGTCCAGAACAACAATTTTTTTAAAATACATATATATTTAACCAAGTACTGCATAGTAGAAAAAAGAAGGGAAAAAGGAAACCCAACTGTTAAAAAAACTGAGTGTATATGAAGAGTTATTGCTGAATTCTTAGGTACATTTTGACTGCATATAATTTAGTACCAACACCCAGAAGACAAGATTACTGAAAGCAAACCACTGGATTACAAAATTACTCTTTTAATTTTATTTTTTTTTTCTGCAAAACGCCACCACTATTCAAGGTTTGTTTGTATTTTAATGATTCATATTTCATCCATCTGGTTACAGAAAAGGCATTCATGGTTTAGGGCACTCATTTTTTTTTTTTTTTTTTAATTTTCAATACATGGCGAGGTCTGTCCCTCTGTCTCAGAAGTGTTCCCGTATGAGAGTTCTGAAGACACTCTAAATAAGCAGATAAGTTACTTCTGTATTAAATATAAAGCCACATAGTTAAAATTTGTTTAATTCTGTAGAATAAATGTTAGTGTATTTCACAGTGATGAAAACCTCAAAGGTTTATTGCTCCCTCTTCATCCACCACCACACTAGACATTTTGAATACTTATTGTCATGATCATGCCAGTACAGGCAAAATCAAGGTTAAACTGTTTATGAAGGTTATCTAGTATCTTGACTTCACAGCATTTTCTGCCATTTGTCAATTGCTTGACAGTTAAAAACTTTGTGTTAGGAGTTTTAACTCCTACAAAAAAACCCCAGAATGATCAATGAAATGTATGTCTTTTTAATTTCTTAATTCTTGTGGAAACAAAAGCTGGCATTAAGAAGATGTTTTCATAATTATGCTTTCATTGCAAGATCAGATCTAAGGCATACTTCATTAAGTGCAAAGTCATTACACACTACAGAGAGAAGACAAAACCCCTTCATTCTCCCCTATGGACCCTATAGGTACATGTGCAAAACCCAGCAAGACTGAAATAAAGATGGACACAATGTACAAGATATTTGTGTAGTTAATATTTCCTCTAACATTCAAAAAAAAAAAAAGTCTTACAGAGATTACTATTTTTATAGCTTTGAGTAGTCTCTCCATGGCTAGCAATTTCAAATAATTATTAAAATCCAAGTAAAAACTCACCAATGGTATTACCAAACCCAACAAAAGCAGCATTTGTTGTCACACTATGACCATCATCATTTAAACACACACATGCTAACGTAAGTCAAGCCTATACCATATATTTTGAGACTGGAGTTAAATAAGGAATAAATTTACAGTGCTTTGGTAAGTACATATTCAACATGAAGAAACATAAATAACAATAGGAATATAGCAATAACCTTGAACACAAATATACCGTAAATACTTCCATGAAAGAAATGGATGTCACAAGATGCTCTAGATATTTTTTGCAATTTATTTTTTTGCCTTTTTCACTTCTTGACAAACTATTAAATGCAAGTCATGCCAACTGCAAGGGATGACTCTGAGACCTGGGCACAACAAAACATGAAAAAAAGAAAACAAACAAACAAATGTTTTAACAGACAGGCACACACATAACAAAAAGGAGGCTTTTGTTAACCATCCAGGAGACTATATATTCTTTACTGCCCACTACTCCTTTCCTGGGAAAGATCCACTAGGTTTTCTCACTGCTCAATATTCTAACAGCAGCAAGTGGCCTGCACTTGTGCAAAGCTTTTCCACATGCATTTTTCAAAGAAGCTTCCCGAGCTATATGTGCATGTCCAGTATCATTTTACATTTGGTCACACAGATAGATTGAGCGATCTGATGCAGTTTAGCAAGATAAAAGTGAACCAGAGGTACGGTCTTTTGCCTCCTAATCTATGCCTAATCAAGCAAGAGGACAATGATCCAAAATACTACAAAAACTTCATTCAAAGTAAAATTTGGAATGCAGTATATAAGAATGACCACAAACCTATTCAGCCTTCAACCTAACAAAGCCAAGGTGGTTTCCATGTTGCCAATTACCCTGGGTGTTGCAACTAAAACTTTTGATCAATAGTAACCAGGTATTTTCTTTAGCTACAACTAATAATGCAATCTCAGAGAAAGATCCAAGCCTACAGAAGACAAGAGTCAGTAATTTAGCACATCCTACATTCAGTTTTTAGTTATCTCCTGGGGAAAAAAAACATAACCTTTGGTAACATGAGAGATGCATACTGTACAGTTGTGATAGTTTCTATAATGAAACTCCAGATACAAATGATAATATCCATAATACAAACCATAATTCTAAAATATATCTGAATATGTGTGTGCATATATATCTCTCAAAAATTATTTCATTTTCTCTTTTATACACATATAAACATCTGGCTAATATGCCCCATAAAAATTTTTCCTTACTTAGGACTAATCTTTTAAATAACAGAGTTTTAAACAGTCCCTTAGAATAATTTTTAAACACTATTAAAAAGTTAAGAACTATCTCAGGGTAATCAAAAAGCACACACAAAATAAATTAACATCATACAAATGTGGTTATATTGTTCAGAAAGTCTAATTCTCCCACCTGAAATGAAATAGAGACCAGTGTACCTTAGGGTGAATTATTCATCGATATACAAATATGTTCTCTCTTTCCACATAAATCTTCATGTGAATTTAGCTGCATTTCTGCATAAGCAAGAAACACAGTAAATCTGCAGAACTCTTGCAAAAGGGAGCTGTGTTCCACTGGATAAGAGCATTTTTGCTGGAGGGCAGCAAGTCATCATTTTATCACCGTCTGAACACTAGCAACACCTGTGCCCTTGTAAGCTTCACACCTTGAAATAGCAGCAACATATTTGATGGGTTCAGTAGTAATTTTTCTTCCAGTATTGGATTAGACTACTTTGCATATACAGTAAGTCAAAAGTCTAGTACTTGTGTGCAGCATCAATCCACATTTACATCTGAGAACTCATAAATATACATGGAAACAAACATGACAGAGATTTATAACTCATTTTAAGTTACAATGTTTTCAGTCCACATGACTGAAAAACAAGTATAAAGTAGATGGACAGCAGAAACAGAACAAAAGGAGTACAATAACTAAAACTGTAAGAAGTAGGTCACTGTTACAAGGGCAAGTTGCAATTAAAATTGATCAACAGAAGATGTAGACTGTACCATTTGCATAAATGCCTAAATGCAGCATTATTTTCACATCACATACAGTAGATGTGATTTCTAAGCATATTATAACAGCTGGCAAACTCACTAATAGATTTATGGTAAATGAATACTAAATTTCTCCAGCTCTTAATGTACAGTAGTTATGCATTAGCCTTTAAAGCTCTTCGTCATCCTTTTAGTAGTCAAGGCTGAATTTCCTTGAATATTTAGTATCCCAACAAGGAAATTACATATATTCACCTTCAATGAACTTTCATACAATACAAATATATTAAAATACCTTCTTAAGCTGAATCATTTCAATACTATGAGTTTTCTTTTTGCTATTTCAAATTAAATACAAGGAATTTTGTAACTTCCAAAGTGAAGGGTGTTTTAAGGCAGTAAAAGATATGTATTAAGGTTTCCATGATTGTTTCTGGTTGTCTATGTGAATAAAGCATATTACACACAATTACTGTCATATATTTATCTATGTGACTTTGTTACACTGTACATGATTTAGCAATCTTCTTGAGAAATTTAAAGTGCCACAGTTCAAATGTGCTCATACGTCTTTTCATGGGCTTCTAGTCCATTCTAGTTGCTTTGAGAAATGAGCCCTTTCTTTACTTAAGGAGCAGTCTTTTTTAGGTGAAAAAAAGAATTCATTCTTCACTGCTGTGCTAACTGGAATCCAGTGGTCGAACCAATCCTTCTTTGTAAACACGAAGAATAGCTTCACAAACAAATTTGTATTGACTCTGTAAAACAAAGAAAACAGAAAAACATTTATGGATGTTCAGGTAAACTCCTGACCAGATCATAGTATTGAATAGGACTAACAGTCCCATGGCTTCCTTTTTTCCTGGACAATGACAGGAGAGGAAATACAAAGATGGGAGGAGAAAATCCTACTCCTCTGGCTGTGTTCACAATAAACAAAGGTAACATTTACTCTTCCTTGAAGAACAAGCATTAAAAATCATGCACCGAGGAAAACACAGCCCCCAGTATTAAAAGCATTCATGATTAATTTTCAGGGAATAGGATTTATTTGTAAAACCTACACATATTTATATGATTTTGCTAACTAGTTAAATAATAGCTAGTTTAATTAGTTATTTACATTCCTTACATATCTCATCTTTTTTTCTATCTTTTTTTTTCCGGTTATCTGATTACTATGAGTATTCTGAGCTTGCCAATCTTACAGTTCCATGTTACTGGCACATCTAAGTTACATGACCAAAATCACATTTAAAGTTACCATATAGGATATATAGATGCAACTACCTAACTAAAAACTACCTTTTTTCCCAAACCACACTACTGCAGAAAAAGGAGTCACTTCATTTTCAATTTTTGATCAGACCACATATCTCCTTTTGTAACTGAAGGGGATCAAAACCTTTCAAATAAATAGCTTTGAAGAGTAGCAGGCACATTAATTTTTTTATCACCCAACATTTTGATCTCAATTAGATCTTATAAAGTCTTCACAAATTAGTGTTTCTTTTCTGCATTCTATTACAAAGACTATTCCTTTCATCACCTTGTGATGTAACTACCTGTTAAAATCAATTACCCTGCAAGCCTCTTTCTGAAAAGTGATACAAGGAGACATTATCAATAGGACTAAAAATCCACATAGACTGAAAAAATCTCTATGACTAACATAATCCTGAGAATGCAAGATGATTGAAATTTAAAAGAACTTGCAAAGATTGACAGCATCCTTCCCTCTTCTCTGAAAGTACCATTGACAAAACCTCCAAATGAACATCTTCCTCCAACTCCATGTCATACTCAGAGAAGCACAGCTTACATTTTTTAAATCCCTTTTTCCATATTTGAACTGTTCTCCCAGCTGCCCTTGTACTGTCAGCTCCCATCAACTCTTCATAAACATCTGGAAACATTCCCCCATTATCTCCCAAAGGGCAGGGCTCAAAGGTAATATTTGGACTGTGAAGGACCTTAGAGTGCACGTAAATACCAGCAGTTAGGAATGTTATTCTTGTCCATAAACTGTAAAACATTTTCCCTTAGATACAGAAAAACTTAAGGGAAACTGGGAGGTGGAAATGAGATTTCTGCATCTCAATTTTCCTGCCTTTTCTTTTAACCTTTCAGTCAATTACTCCCACCTTCAATATCACTCTGTTCTTTTGTCTTTATTTCTTAATTACCTTGACTTTTCTCTTCATCGTTATAGTAATTTCCATATTTCTACTGCTTGAACAAGTCAGGTGTGATATTTAGTTCTCTGTTCAATACTTCTGCTAACTTGTGGGATCGAATTACTGAACAAATAAAAGAATGAGCACTTCAGCATTGCTTACTCTGACTCAGTCTCTGACTACTTATTTTGTTTTCTCTTATCTGTTGCATGTATTCTTCCTGCTCAGTCAGCTGGTAGCTAGTTTTATTATGCGCATCCTAAAGCTCTGTTTTCTGTATTGTTTAGTTTTTTCTAATTTCTTTTTAATGGAGCATAATGGCTAATTTTTCTTTTTTTCAGTGAAAGGCCATAGTGTTATACCAATTTCGTTGTAGCTTTATAATTTTGGTTGAAACTTCTGTTTTGCTGTTCCTGGTAACCAAAGTATTGGTTTTTGAGAAACTACAGTTTTTACATGACTAAAAACAGACACTAAACTGACCAGTTAATAGCTCTGATGGGTCCATTCTTACCAAATATGCCCTGTCTGGTATTAACTCACAACATGCATCTGGCAAAGTGTATCATCTTAGAATTGGAGCACACACACAATCCCCACAGGGCAGCTGAACATGCTTCAGGCAAGGCTATTAAAACTGAACAATCTCTATATTACAACTGAATCATCTCTAATGTCTCCTCCCAGAAGCCCTAAGCTGAATATCAAATATGAGCAAACATGAGTGGGGCTAGCTAGAACGCAAGCATGGGAATGCCATAGAGCACCCAGGATAGATTGAAATATTAACATGTAGCTCTTTGGTAGTTTGTTTTCCCACAGCTGAGTGCTTGCTTCTGTGTCTCATTTACAGCACAGTATGACAATTTTGCTCATTGGCTTTTCACAACAGTACCTGCCTACTTTGGAAATAACAAGTGAATTTAGTTTCACAGTATTGCTGCTACAGATCATCCCTCTCCTGATTGTGCTGACAGCGAACTGTGTGACACACAGCAAGCAAGGTAAAGAATCCTATTTTAGGTATTCATTTTCCACACAGGGGGTCTGATTGTCAGTATATTTATTGCTATTCCTTGTATTCTTCAGTTATGTCAAAGTGTGGAGTGCAAGAACAATTCTTGTTGATTTCTGTTGTAACAAAAGGGACTCGGTCTTCCCAACAAGCTGAAGCTTACTTCAGGTTCTCATATCTGATTTTCAAAAAGAGCACCACTTCTAGACTAAGCCCGAAGTTGCTCAGATAGTTTTAGAAACTGAGGGGTGTAGATAGGTGCAAGTCCAGAAGTCAACATTCAGCTTCCTTAAACTTCATTTGATGACAACCTTTGTCATTATCTCAGCTTCCACTTCTGAGAGGAACAGGCAGGGGACCCTTCAAACAAATCCCTTCTCAACCACACAGTCCTGACACTCTTCCAGAGAGTGCACTCATACTGCAATGGAAAGAGTCCCAGCAGCATGCACGAACAAACTCTGCTCACTGAGCACTATAATGTTACACAGGCAACTATAAATCCTGATGCCTTTACACCCCTTTTTCTTCCTGTCTAGGCAATCACAATGCTAGCTCCTGCAGTCATTAACCTGTTAATGAACAGAATTTTTCTTCATAATTTACTTTTTCCTTGATCAAACGGAAACCAAGGCATTTTCTTTTGAACATTAGAGACAGAAATGTCCAATTTAACTGTTGTCTTTGTGGGTCTAACCCCCCTTACTTCCATCTCTCATAGGACATTTAGCTCTCCAAGATAACCCACACTTAGTATTCTTGTCATCCAATCTGTCCCCAAGAAAGAACAGTCTCTCATCCTTCAGTCTTAGTCTCTAACTTCAAATATATTCATTTCCAAAGCTGACACAAAATTGCCTTAATGATCTCAAGTTTTCTTTGAACCACTTTCATCTTAATATCACTGTCTACTTTCATATTTCAGTTACTGATACTACCCAACTTGCCCTTTGTTTTTCCAAACTGGGTAGTGGCAAAATGAAAAAAGTAAATAAATATTGTTCTTATAGAATTTCTACTCAAAGTGACCTGTTGAGAAGCCATTTCCTCTCTTCAAACCATGTGTCTTAGTTACAGGGACCTGGATCAGTTTATCACTATGGGTATAACCAAAACTGTGTATTCTACATCCTCTATGTAATTTCTGATGGACTGTTAATAATGGGTCATTTGCAGCAGCTGCCCAGGGCACACCTGACACCTCAGGCTACAAGCTGTGTTTTAAATACATACATCATAGCAAAGCAGCCTATGCCAGTGTGCTACCTTGTGCTGAATTTATGAAGTTTGAAATATAATGGCAACTGAAGACTCATACGAGACTCCTATATCTAAAAAATTTTTGTATCTGTTTTAAACCTTGACAAGTGCAGTATATACAGAAAATCAGGCTTCCTTTCCATCACTTACTGATGTTTGCACCATCATAGCTCGTTGGTCTCGCATTTTTCTTACAATATCCAGTGGATAAACAGGTTGGTTCCTTTCAATTAAACACATGGCTGTTTCCATAGTGACCAATACACCAGTACGACCGATTCCTGCACTGTGAAATGTAACAGGAAAATAGTCTATAAAATTGGGTTTTTGCAATGCACCAGATTCATATCATAGTCTTAATACTAGGTTGCTAAACAACTTCAGGAATTACAGAAAGACCTTAGTAAAATTTAAACAGAGTGCAAAGTTTATTTTTACAGCAAATTCAGTAATATTTTCTGGCAATTACTAAAAAGAAAATATCTTTTAATATAAATAAAACTAAAACCTTACTTAAAGTAAATGCATTTTTAAAAAATTATAACTGCTTAAAAATCTAAATGTATTGGTTTGGTATTTTTGACTTTAAAAAAAGGTAAGTTATAATTGACTGTTTTTATGAGAGGCAATTGAACAGCAGCAAAAAAGCCTTTGCAGTGCTGTTCAAAATGAGGTTATGACAGTGGTAGAGGATAAAAAACGGAGAACAAATCACACTGCAGATTTATCAGCTCTGTGATAATTACGTGACTAAGCCATTTCACCAAAAGGTTGCAGGAGAAAGGGAGACAAAGGAAACTCATCGTTTACATATAACATCAGTTTCTCTCTTCAGCAGTGAACACTTGTATTGCACAATTTAAGATTTTCATCTAATTCAAGGAATCTCCCGTCTTGGAGACAGACGTTTCACATGAAATGCTTATTCTAAGGTTGAAGCAGATCTATAATTAGAATTTTAAAACACAAGTACCTGCAGTGAACAAGAACTGGCTCATTCTTTACTCTCTTTGGCCTCATACAGGTCACAAACTCCAAGAAGTCCATGGAGTCATCAGGAACGCCATGATCAGGCCAAGCTACATACTGGAGATGGGTGACGGTGTGTTGTTGTTCTGTCTAAAATACAGTAAAGTTTTCAGAAAATGTCCAGTGTTAGGACTGCTGTATTCACGTTTACTAGATAAAAGTCACATTTTTCATAGTCAAAGTATTCTGCAGGTGCAATAAGAGGTAGATGTAGAAAATGTTTGTCATTTTAAAACTCCGCATGAAGTATGAAGACGTCATTATCAGAAAGCATATATGATGCATAACATTTTCTAAATAAATGAGATATCAAGCTTAACTTCCGTGATCTAAACAGATTTTAATTTTTTGGATTTATTGATTATTGACCTATTGTACTTTGAAATCCTGAGGTAAAATGAAACAAGGCATAAGCATAATAGTACTATATAATAGTTCAGAATAGGTTGAAAGAAACAACAGAGAACAGCAGAAGAACTATTGAGATCAGTATAAAAATAACAGAGGTTTGGGGCTACACAATCTGTTGTAAATATGTCTGTGCATACTTACAGATTCAGCTATAATAAAGTTGTCTGTAATGTTTGCTAAATCTGGTTTCTGTCAGAAAACATATATCATTCATACATGCTCATTTTACATATAGGAATGACTTCTGTATGATCCACAGAAGGATACTTTTCTGTATGGAAGCAATATAATTAGTTAAAAGATTCTGTTGCACAAAGAGTTCTTTTTGGTTCAATTATACCTCAAAATAAAAACAGTTTTAGAGAAGTTCTTTCAGTTTAGCTTTTTGTTAACTTTGATTATGAAACCACTCAATCATCTTTGCATGCAGATTGAGCTCAACTGATACATTACAGATGTAATTAATACTTAGGGTAGGAAGGAAAAAACTTAAGATGCTCCTGAGCTCTGCTGCAATGAGGATCTTGCTCTTTACAAGCTGAGACAAACCTTCATGTTCCTTTATTTCTTACACACATTTTGCAATAGTTAGACCTGCATGTTATTTATGTCCATTACCACACTTAACATTTGACACCCTACTGACATCTCCTTTATCACTAGATTAGTCTATAAAAGAATGCTCTTTGTGATGCTGGTGACTTCAAAAGGTTTCTTTCTTTTTCTCCTTAGTGCATAGCTGCTGAAATATAGAATGCCTTCAACTGCTTGCTTTCCTCTTCTGCTTGAGGAAGCGGTTCTACTACCAGGGAGCAGGCTAGTAGAACACAAAAGATAGAATAACTATTGCCTACTAAGTAGAGTCTTAGGAAATGCAATTCCAGTTAAAGCAATTGCAGAAATTTATAATTGCCTCCAGGGACCAAAAGATAAATGATACTTTGGCCCTTGGAGGCACAGCCTGAGCAATCACAATTAAAAGGTCCAGCATAAGGCCCAAGGGGACAACATAATCTAACATTAATAACCAAACTCCCTGTAATATGAATTGCATTGGGATCTATCACCCAGGTTATCACAAGATCCAGAATGACCAGGACCTCTGCAGGAAAAAGCATGGCCTTTTGCTACTCAGCTTTGCTGAGTAGGAACAGTTGATCCTGACCAATGATTACAATTCACGTTTTTCTGAAATGCCAAGATTACAAAAAAATACATAAACATGTCAAGAAAATGTAATTAAAAAGTTCTCCTTTCGAAATCTGTGCATGCTTAATCAGAACCTCTTCTAAAGAGAAATAACGCAGCAATTACACGTAACTGTTTGAGCTCATTCTCTTAAATCAGAGACATTTGAATTACAGCATCCTTGATTCATTCTAAAACTATCCAAGAGTGAGTATCCAGTTGCCTTCCATGTGCTTCAAGAAATTAAAGTCATACAGCATGGATAAGTGCCAGTGGCACACCTGAGAACCACTAATAGTAATCTGTAGCATCAAAAAGTCATTTTACAAGCTCAGAAAAAAAAAAGAAATTTCTACTTAATTTCTACTTATCATTACAGACTCAAATATAGTGAGTTGCATTTATTTAAATAGTTCACGACATTAAGTAACACAATCATGTTATATAAGACTTATTCAGAGTGAGAATATACTCTGAGAACATGCACTTGGTCCCTAGAGCTGGTGCTTTTGGTGCAATCATCTAATTTTCTATTGCAGACCCTAATCATCCATAGAGACCAACAGAGGTGTTTGTTAATTATTCCAGGTATGCCTCAAGCTTCAGTGTAGTTTTCTAGTTATTTGTGTTTTAATACAATCAGTTTTGATTCTTCTGGTTGAGCTCTTCTGAGATGATCCAAATTGTTAACATTTGACTGTTATGTCACTCGCTTTTCAAAATGCACAAGTATTTTAAAACACTTCATATTAACCTATTGTAAACAGTAGTTATAGTCATATATGTTAGAACTTTTTCTAAGTCTAAGCTTTTCTGTCTCAAGCAGAAAATATCAAATCAGTACTCTGACAAAGTCCAGATTTTTTTAAAGCTATTTTTAGTGGGCTTTTTTTGCCTTTTTTTTAAAAAAAAAAATAAATCTTCAAGTCTTTACATTCACAAGGAAAGTCAGCTTTTAAATTCAGAGAATGTCAGCCAAATAACACCCCACATGGAAATAACTAACATTAAAAGACCATCACACTTACTAAAATCTAGCACTCATACATGAAAAAAAATGCCAAATTGTAGTTACTGGTTTCATAGTTAGCCCCACTCTACATGTTTTGCTAACAATACTTATTTTTAAACACACTATTTCTGCCAGACCCTGCTTCTTTGTACAAACCTAGCTATAGAAAAGAAGAGGTAACTTCTCGTTACACTCGTGTTGCTCATCAAACCATCATTCTGTGAAACTCCTTTTAAGGCTTTTCCACAATTCTTTTTGCACTGACGTTTTCAGTGACAGTCATTATTCTAGCATCTTAATGTCTGATAGATGTATAATTTATCTAATCTGGTTTTGTTAGTCCAGTTTTATGAGTCTAAACTTACACAAAGTGAGACAGCAAGAGCTGCTCATGACTTGGCTGCTATTTTTGCCTAACTTAATCTTATACACCTTCTTGTTCCAAAATTATTTAATGTTTTTTGCATTTGCATGGACTTTCAATGGAATTTATGTATTTGGTATTTCCACAAATCAGCTTAAAAATTATGATTCAAAAAAATTAGTCCAAACAACTTAACAGACTCCAGTGACATTTCAGGATTATGTCATTTGGCCAGTTTCACATCAGCCATTTGGCCAACATTTAGATGCTTCATGGCAATAATCCACATTTAATTAGCAAGCGGCTACAGAGGTCTAAGACATCATATTTATACCAAGTTGTTTGTTATCGTCCTTCTTATAATAGTTGTTGTCACTACAGAAAAATTGTTTAACAAAAAACCACCAGAAAATTATGTACTTGTACCAACCCCTCCTGGGCAAATTCAAGACATCTAACTGCAAAACCAGATTCATTGTAGTTAAGCTAACATCTTAGATTTTGCTCAGAAACACAGCATAAAGACACATGATCTTTTCTCACAAGTCTGTCATTGGGATTGCAACAAAAATATGCATTCTCCATCCTTCTGCAGGTTGCAGCCTTGCTTATTATAATTACACAAAAGCTAAACTTCTTCATTTCATTCTAAAATGACAGACTCTCCCTCATTAATAAAAGAATTGCATGTTCTTCAGAAAAAAAATACACAGTACTTAGAATGATAATACTCATATAGAAAGAAGGAAATTTAGGCTTGAAATGTCAAGCTTAATTTTCACTTTTCTTAAAATCCAAACAATTGATTTTGCATGTCACCATTTTAGTTATTGTCCTTTTTGGTATAGGTTATAATATAATTTTCAATAATGAGGAAAAAAAATCACAATGTAGAACAAAATTAATTTTGAAATGGTCTTATTATCTTGTAAGCAGTAAAAGGTAGGGTCTTCGCCAGTGAGCTTCACAAATATAACTTGAAAGCTGAGTCTCAGTGATCAGGGTTAAAGCCCAGTTTCTGAAGAGTAGATCATATGGCAAGTGGCATTTGGCATTTCTTTGGACCACCGTTCACACATCATAATGCTTCTGTACACACTTGCCATAATACTTGTAACTTAATTTTGTTCTTTGGCTCTTTATAACTCAAAATCAACTTGCTTTCTTCTACCACAGGTATTTGACAGAACAGAACATGTCCAGTGCAGACACTTTTCAGAGAAACTGTACAGTGTAATGGGTTTGTTCAAGACATTTATGACATGGTAAAATTTATATAGATTTATATAGATTTATATAGATTTACTTGGGAAAAAAAAAAATACAAGGTCTTGTTTAAATGCAGAAGCAAAAGTTTCAATGAACCAATCTAAGAACCCCTAACATAAGCAAACTCAACTTTTCCCCCCATGAACTGTTGTATGACATGTATCTGGCAAAGAAGACAAAGCTGTGGAAAGCCTCAATCCAAACAATTAAGATGTATAAAAAATTAGAGATTCTATTTTGAGCTGTTTATAGCAGAAAGTGCTAGCAGTATACTACTTACATTGCTGCCTTTGTTTCATTGAATATCAACTTAACACAGTCATTAGAAAGCCTACATGCTGGTCATTCATAAACAGGAAGATATCAGTCATTCTTCATCTTACAATTTTACCTCCTCCCTTCAGCAAACTATAACATTCTTCCTTAGTGAAATGAATTTATGCTTAATCTTCAGTTTGTTTGAATTGCTGCATCCATTTCTTCCTCTTCAAATAATACCCTCCATTATTTCCACGGAAAGTGATAGCTTTTAAATGAAAAAGAAGCTTATCACTCCAAATCCCTCTATTTGCACTGTCACTGCCTGCACAATCATGTTAAAAAAATCCATATTATGACACAAGGAATTGCTTTAATTAACTTGACCTGGGTTGTTTATAAGATGTAAGTACTCTGTCATGGCTCTCACACTCATTCATTATAGCAATCATATAACTTGTCTTTCATGGATGAAATTCAATCAATTTTTAAACATCTTGAAATTTATTCTTTTTCTTTGAATAATTTCATAGAATCATAGAATATACTGAGCTGGAAGGGACCCATCAGGATCATCGAGTCCAACTCCTGGTCCAGTGCAGGACACCCCAAGAATCACACCATGTACCTGAGAGAATTGTCCAAATGCTTCTTGAACTCAGACAATCATCGTGTTGTGACCACTTCCCTAGGGAGCCTGTTCCTGTGCTTGACCACCCTCTGGGTGAAGAACCATTTTCTAATACCTCACTTAAACCTCCCTTGACTCAGATTCATGCTGTTTCCTGTCACTGGTCACTACAGAGAAGAGATTGGTGTCTACCCCTCCACTTCCCCTCACATGAGGATGCCGAAGTCTGCAATGAGGTCTCCCCTCAGTCTCCTCTTCTCCAGGTTGAAAAAAACAAGTGACCTCAGCCACTCTTTGTATGGCTTCCCCTCAAGACCCTTCACAATCCTTATGGCCCTTTCTTGGATGCTCTATAGTAGTTTAATGTCATTTTTCTATTTTGGTGCCCAAAACTGCACACAGAACTCCAGCTGAGGCCGCACCAGTGCAGAGCAGAGTGGGGCAATCCCCTCTCTCAACCGGCTGGAGATGTTTTGCCTGATGCCCCCCAGGACACGGTTGGTCCTCCTGGCTGCCAGGGCACTGCTGACTCAGATTCAATCTGCCATCGACCAGGACCCCCAGGCTCCTTTCTGCAGCACTGCTCTTCAGCCTCTTGTTTACTTAGTAAAATTTATCAGGTGAAAGAATGACAGGGCAGTTTGAAAACAACAAACAAGTTGTGGCAACAACTAACATAAAGTGCGGGAGAATAAAAACCAAAACAAATAAACCAAAACCGTGAAAAATTACAGTCTTTCAAAGTAATGTGAGTTACATGGTTCAGCAAGTATTATCTCCACAGCCTCGTTAAGTTCTATGGCTGGGTTCTACTCACACTTAAGTGAAATCAAGAACAAATGCTTGTTTCAAGAAGGGAAAGTAGCAGAAAAGTTTTCTTCAAAACATAATTGAATGAAACTGATGAGATTTAATGTTGCAAGGCATTTCTCTTAAAGGAAACTGAAAAAAAGTTTGTTTTAGGCTCCTCATGCTATTTTTTTCAATGATTAAAAAGAAATTCATATTTTGTTTTACAAAACAGTGAACTGTGTGATAACTCTGCACTCACACTACACAATTTCTTTCCTTTTGTCTGTTTGTTCTGATCCCCAAAGTGTTCTGAAGCTTTAAAAAAAAAAAACCAACAAAAAACCCCCAACCCTAATCAACCTCAAAAAACCCCAAACTTAGTGCTTTTTTTGCTCTCCTTTTATTTTCCTACAGTACAGCTTTCAATCTTGGTCTTGAAAAGGCAGGAAATTAATCCTTTCTTTATTTCATGAGGCTTAGAAAGGTTAAAAATAAATAATTTGAGTGACAGGGACTAAAAGTTTGTGCATATTTACTTGCAGTACTACTTTTATGAGCTTAATTTCTTCTGTGCTGACATTCAAGTTTATAATTTACAGATTAATTGGCCAAAATACAGAAAGAAATATCATGCTGCTCCCTGACTACGTGGTTTCTCACAGCTAGAAACTGAAACACTCTATCTCAACTGAAAGACCTTTAAGTACTGACATCTGACATCTCACTTTATGACTACAAAGGAAATCTTAATTACATTAAAACAAATTTGGATGGGCTGCCAAGTGACAGATTCAGTTACAAATGTATGAGACTAAAGGATTGGTCATCTTGCTGTAAGAACATTGATTACATGTTATATTTTAAACCAGATATTTCTTCTTTTTTTGACTACTAGCAATCCTGGTAACTATAAAAGCTACTAAACTATACAGAAGTTTAAAAGACATACTAATAATGGAACTGTAAATTACTCTTTGGTCAGTATATAGTCATTTCTTACATATCTTAGGAAAGTATAAACCCTTCATCTTTTTAGAGAATACCTGTGGCTGTAGAATTTTGGAAAAGAGATGAGGAGAGGAAACATAAGAAATCCAGGACAATTTAGAAACAAAAGTCAGACTTCATCCCCTATAACTCAGGTTGTGGGAAGTCTAGATGTGACCTGCACACACATTTGACAACACGAGAGAATATGCATGTGTTTAACCTTTTCTTTGCTTTCCAACTCTGACATTAGCATAAAGTATTAGGAGCTATGGAATATATGTATCTTACATAAATTGAGCACATTTCAATTGAAATATATATGGATTTTTTTCTCTTTTTTAAAATTTGACTAAAGATAATGGAAAGGAACTGGTGAGATTATCTTCTCTCAAAACAACATTTTTATGTTTCACTTCTTAATTAGCCATTCTAGCTGCATATACCATTAACCAAGTGACCCATATTTCATCCCTGAAAGAGCACGGTTACTCAGAAAAAAAACCTCACATTATAAATTAAACTACTTGTGAATCCAGTGATTGCAAAACTGTTTAAAGAAAAGCACTAAATTTCTTTATGAAGGTTATTACAATATCTGTACAGCATCATGTATTATAGAACTTCAAAAAGTATGTTTGTGAAGCTCTAAAGAAATAATCGTACTATCTTGATTTATATAATATACAAATATTCTTTTTTAAAAACTGTGTGTGTCTATATACACACATGTGCATATTCACACACAGAGATATATGTTATCAGAGTCTTTATCTACCTATCTCTACCTGTATTCATTCAGCTTGCTTGGGGATAATTAGAGATAAGAGACATTTACCTCAACATGTGTAATCACCATTTCTCTAACAACATAAGCAATCGTACAGTCTTCAGAGTGGCATCTGACACGAAAGCTGCCATATTCCATTACATCTGGTGGATCAGGCCAATACTGGTGACATTTGGTCTGTAAGGAGAATTAAGCACATGTCAAGACAGTATACAAGCACTTCTGTTTCCAGCATTCCATCCTATGCTGTGGTTCAGGGAACTCAAGGAGCAATATAAAATCAGTTCTGGTTTGCTGGCAAGATTTTTGCATCCAAATTGGAAAATAACAGAACAAAATAGGCTAAAGTCTCCATAAATATCTGTTTTAGTGATTTGTAATAAATATTCAGGTATTTAGAGGCATGATGCTTTGTCTGGTGCTCATCTGCAGTTGCTAAAATGACTTCTCAAGCCATAAGGTAGGAGGAGAAAGATGGATTCATTTCATCGTAAGAAGAGAAGTATAGAGGGTAAACTTACAACTATCTTTAGCCATCTAATAACAGTTTATAGCAAAAGCAGAGCCACATATTTCTTGAAAGGGAACAATGAAAGGACAAGAGGTAACTGAAAAAAAGATGCAAAAAGGGAAATTCTGATTAGATGTTGGCAAAAAATTTCCATGAGGATGGTCAAGTACAGAAACAAGAAACCCTATGAGGCTGTGGAATCTCCGCCTATAGAAATAATCAAAACTTAACTGATGTGACACTGTAACTCTGTGAAGTTCAAAGATGTTTTTGTCTGCAACTTTTAAACTGTTACAGACTAGCAAGAGCTGGAAATTTTGAAATGTTAAAATTTCTTAATTCTACCTTTAATAAACTCAATTTTCAGTGGTTTGAAATCCAAATTATAACCATTATGCCTGAAATTTTTACTGTGGTAGTTCAGCTGAAATACTTTCCTTTTCAAATTTAAGCCAAAATAATGTATCCATTTCTAAAAAAGTACCATTACTGTGCAGCAAAAAATAAAATTCTATAATACAAATCTTAAGATCACTGGAAAGAAACAGGCTGGAGTGTAAAACCTCTAGGGATTGCAAAAAGGTTTGGCATTGCCAGTAGGGATAGTCTTGACAAGAATATACATTTTTCTCTATTCCTGAAAGTTCACCCACAAACTGGGCAAATGTAAATAATTTCTGAAATTAAACACAACTCAGAAAAAGTGTCTAGTGTGTAAAGGTACCAGCAGGATGATTAGAAGCAATCAACAATTACCTTGAAGTTTCCAACTGACTGGGCAAACTACAGACTATTACTAATATGTGTTTCTACTCAACACAAGGAAATGAAAGCAGCAAGCTATTTTGATTGCAATACAGTCAAAAGATGAAGGGAGCATTTTTGTGTCAGACGATGTTCAATGTCTGTTTCCACGAACAGCTACATAACCTGATCATGAGTAAAATCTGATGGCTAATTAACTGTCCTTCCTTACATCTCAATCTTCATGCTTTTTAGGACCTTCAATATTCACTGCCTTGCTTTCTAAAAACACTAGATTTTGACTGAGATGCCAGATAAATTTCATAGTGTAGGATAGATCACATAGGAAAGATAGATAAAGGTTACAGTGTAGGCATACAAGAGCTTCACTACCTTATCTACCTCTTATAAAACCCAACTGTTCAGCTTTTGGTTTCTAAAACTTCAAACTACCTTTACATTTAATCTAAAACACTTAATCTTTAAAACTACAAAGGATATGCTAGATCAAAGTACAAAACAATACACCAGATTTTCACTGTACTATTCCAAAAGTAATGGCATGCCAGAATTATCAGAGCGATTCTAGGAAAGAACTTAAAATGTAAATAAAAATAAGCAGGTTAAACTCTGACCACTACTAGTAAATAGTATGATGGCAGACTCTTTTTTAAAACCAGACTACAAGGTTTGCTCAGCCTGCTCAATGCTTCCAGACATCTGCTGAATGGCTTGGAGAGCAACTGCCACATGGAGCCCAGTACTCAGGGGGAAAAATAACAACATGTAGTACCTGTCTGTTCAGCATAACAGAGTGAATGCAGTGATTTGTGTTTATCAGACAGCTGGTTTGTTTACAAAGCAGCAAAACAAAAAGCAAGTTGCAGACAATCTCTTCCTAAGTAATTCAGAAAGTCTGGCTGTCAGAAAAATGATTCAATGGAATAAGTCGGCCTATTTTAGGGTTATTTAATCATAACAATGGAAAAAATGTTCAAAAGTACAGTATATTTCTTCAGCATATAAAGAGCCTGGACACTTACCCGTCCTCGTTCAGTAAGAGTTGTTAACATGATGATCAGTGACAATTTGTGATCCCAGACTACTTGCCAAAAGTGTGCACATGTGTGTGGAAGAGGCCCCTGAGTAGCAATGTATCTGTTCACAATGCCCACAGAAGGAATTTCCATCTATAGAGTGGAAGAAAAGTTCTATGTAAATCTTGTTCTCATTGCTCAAGTACTATTTTAACTCAGCATTTCATTCAAACAGAAAATTTTGAGGGAAGACTAATGCAGCAAGTAATAAGTAATAAGACAATCAAGATCACACTTTGTTATGTGAAAAAATTTTAAATCATTAATTTAAAACAGATGTAAAGATTCTACAGTCCTTCATGCTGAACCATAAATAGAAGATTATTAGTGACAATGTATTTAAAAATTTGAAACTGCAAAGCTTTCCAGATTTTCTTTAATACCTAGAAAGGAAGTATGGCAGGGCATATACACCAAAGGTATGCTAGCAAAAGCTGTTTATTGCCTGATACCAAACACGGTAAGTGAAGAATCAACTCTGATTTAGGTGCTTAACTTATGGATCTGACACAAATATATAGATGTTTTCCCCTCTTTTCCCTAACCCCCAGTCTACACTTGATTAATTATGGCAATTATGGCCCTGATTTGTCTTCTGTATTCCTTCATAGCATAGCTGGTATGCCATAAGTGTCTCTAGAGGGAAAAGTGCTCAATTTTAAGGATACAACCTCAGCATTTGAAGCCTATGGAAAGGTAAAACAATTTTTACTGGTTAAAGACTCTGCACATATCAAAGTTTATACCAACCACATGGTTGCATTTACTTTGTATTAGGATGGCTACTTGTTTCACAAGAGACACTTCATCTTTTACACTATGAAACTTTACATCTTTTACATTTGCAAATCCCCAAAATATAAAAGAAAATATCCTTTTTCCTCAAAAAAGCCAAATTCAATCTGCGTTAGTAATACAGAGAGCGAGCAGGTCTCTGTATGACTTACATTCACGTAATTTGCATTAATGTAATCTTCATCTCCTCGCAATATTATCCTTGTGGCATCATCTGCACACACAGACACACACACAAAAAAAAGAGGGAATAAAATTAGCAATTAATGGGCATGTTTCCCTTCTATTAAGTTAAAAAACAATTGAGGAATTGCAGAGACGCAAACAGCAGAATACAAATCAGAATACATTACATTTTAGAACATAAAATGAAAAACTATATGACTTCAATTATATAATGAAATCTTCAATCAATAAGTTCCATACAACAGTTTTAATAGCTACCATATAAAGGATAAAGCAAAATAGGCAGGAACTGTACTTTAGACTCACAAGGTAGAACATCTTTGTATCTATTCTTGTCCATATTCTGAGGTACCTTTGCACATGTAACAGCCAAACCTGGTTTCTTTCTATAAAGTTGCTGCAAAAAAGAATGAAAAATCATACAGTTTTGAGGGATCTGATTATGTTATACACAAATTAAATACACTCACATGAAAATATATAGACTGAAAAAAATAATGTTTTTCTTTAATATTTTTCCTATCTTTCTGCAAAATTCATTTGAGAGATTTTTGCATTTAACATGACAAGAATTTCTAATCTTGAAATATCTCATCATGATATCCAGAAGAATTTCTAGGACAGAAAAAAAAAAAGGAAACATGAGAGTCATTGAAATATACTGTTTGCCTGCAGGTTTGCTTTTTTCTTATAAAACCATGAACTGGAAGGAAAATAGTAGTTGAGGGTGAAACAAGTGAGCAATGAAAGATATCAGAAGAAAAAAAAAGTAGTTGCAGGACAATATTTTATGGAATAATTGTAATACAAAAATTTCAGACAAATTTTTATTCTCTGGACTAAACCTAACCTATTCAATCCTTAAGTACCTGAAAAAAACAACACTTCAACGTACCACAATCTCTTAACCTGTGACACTGTTTCTTTTGGGCCATCTGCTCTGTTGCAAACTTTATCTGGAGTGAATGTGGGCATAGGAGTGTAAATCAAATTTTAAGGTTGGTGCAAGGTTAATGGTTGGGCTTTATAATCTTAGAGTTCTTTCCCAGACTTAATGATTTATCATTCTAAGTGCATCATATCAGACAACAAAAGGTACAGAGGGGGGAAAACAACAACAAAAAAGAATTAAGCAATGTAATTATACAATTACGGCTTTTCTGTATTAAATACATGTAACAGCAACTTACAATTGAGTTACTAACCTGGCTGTATGTACCTCACTGAACACTTACTACAGAGCACATTATATTTTACAAGTTTAATGAAGATTCTGAATATGGTTCCATACATAAAATGGAATTAAATAAATAGAAAGCTACTTTAATTGAGAGAAAAGAAACAACGCAAAAAAAGCTTATTCTATTGGAAGATTTACTGAATTCTAAGAGTCTGTATCACAGCTTATGTAATTTTTCAATTTATATAACATAAAAAAAACCTTGATAATATATATAATATATAATATTATATATATATATATTATATATATTATATATATAATGGAACAGCTTCTATCAGTTATAACTCAAATTCCACTTTACTTTACTAGAGCCAAGTTGTGATTTCTGCTTTTTTTTGGAAAACAAGGAAGAATAATTTAAAGTCAAGTAATCATTCTCCAGCTTCATTATTGTTGCCTGGCAAACAGTCATTTGCTATTGACAGACTTGTTAAATTCTGATTAAATGGAGGAAGATATTCTGGGAAAACTTTATTATTCATAGTCTACTGGCTAATTATTTACTATTTTACTGAAGTGAATGGAGAGTTTGAGAGTCACCAAGGTTGATGAGGTGCCACTGCAATTGTCTCTGATCATGAAACAATGAACTCAAAGAAACAAGGCCACTAAGCTGTACCCTAGATTTATTATATTTCAAAAACATTTTGAACTTTTTCTGTAATATCCTTTTATAAATGCTGACAGGAAAAAAAGTCATAAAGGAGCAAATATCCTATGAAGATTATTACAGGAAATTGTGCACAAATTTAGTCAAAAAATTTGACAATTAAGAAAGTACTGAAAGGTCAGTTCATGTATTTTGAGTTACTGTTTCAATAGCCAGCACTCATTGCAACTGATGGATTGTATCCAGTGCTGTGGATTTTGGAAAGCAGCTATGAACCATAGTCTACAATTTCTTAAGAAAAGGGGAAATTTAATTCTCAGAAATCTTGGAAACAAAGCAAATTTCATTAAAAAAAGTGGTTATAAAATTACCAATTTCAGAACTCTTCAGCCCCTACCATTAAATTTGACAGCATTTGAAAAAGAGTGAAGGAAAAAATATCAAAATGGGGAAAAATTTTTTTGCTGTTCCAGAAATTTTCAGTGACAGAAATGGTTACTCCCGAACTCAATGTCAATTTTATAAATCATAATAACTAGGGTTTCTCCAGAGTTACTATAAATGTTTGAATCCACTAGAGCAAAACAAGCACAAACATACATACACTGTACTCCCTTGCCATTAGAGAAGCAGATGAATTTTCTTTTGTAATTTCTTATACTAACAATTAAAGAATTAATATAATAAATTATAAAAACATGTTATTAGTCAGTTTTCTATGACATTCTTTGTTAACACATTGAAGAACATAGAAAAAGAAACAAAGTACAAGACTGACCTCTGTGAAAACCCCACTACTCTACTGAATAAAATAACTAAGGAAAAAATATTAATTTAGTGAGCTTTAGGTACTTGAGCTAGAAACACGTTAATTCAAATACATTTTTCTCAGCAGATGATATTTTGTGTACAACTGATAACTCGTTCTTCCTTGTTGTAAGTAGTGAAGGGTGAAACTGATGGGCAAGTAAAAATGTTGCTCCCTTGAGACAGGACTGAAGAGGAACAATGAAATTTGCAATTAATTAAACCCCTACATTACTTGCTGATTACAGCTATTGGTGTATATTAATGACATTTGAGAATTGAGTATTACCTACCTCAAACTGAATAAGGACAGTCCCACTTTCTAGCCCTCTTCTTAGCTGTTCCATAGACTCCTCCAGTGTATCACCACCATATTCAGAACAGACAGGAAGAATAGATTCTGGGAGATTGTGGGAATCAGCTTCATCTTCTGATTTGGATTCCACAAACTGTTTAACTACTGAAAGATGTGTAGACAATTAAAATCCATTGCATGCAGCATTAATGTGTTTGTAACAGATATAAAAATTTACAAGCTTGAAAAAACAACAAAGTTTCCAAAGCCTCAGGAAAGTAAATAGTAACACATTTAATTGCATTTCTTTTTGCACTATATTACTGTAGAAATTGCTAGGAGCAAAATGTCCTTATGACCTTTCGGAAAGAGAAACTCAAAATGCCTCTCTATGAAGACAAAGAAAAAGCACAAGGAGCTTTTGCCATCTTGTCTTACAGAATGAACTGCTAAATAGACTAATGAATCACAGCATCCACCATGGTAAAAAAACAATGGAGTTTTGCCTAAAAAAGTTTAGAGTATAATTAATGGAATATCTCTACAAGAAACTTGTATAAGTTTGGACCTCCAATAGCAAAATGAATGCAAAAATTCTTGTATAGTACTCTCTTGCCATTAGAGAAGCAACTGAATTATCTTTTGCAATTTTTTATGCTAACATTGAAGAAACTAACTAAATAAACTTTAAAAAAAATAGTCTGTTTTCTATGACGTTCCTTAATAAGATATTGAAGAACATGACGAACATTAATGAAGCAATCTGCATAGCAGTTCTGTCTCTATGAATCATATCGTATCACCAAACATGCTCAGCTGTGGTTATTCTCTGCAATATCAGAACACTTCATACCTGCCAAACTTGAGAAAATGGGAAGCTGTTCATACACATGCCTATAGAAATGACTGGCGTGGGGCCACAGGTTATCTTTAGATAAAAGCAGACTTCTCTTATCTGCAAGTAGGAAGGGGACTAGAAGACTTAAGGGAAGACTAAATGTTGCATAAAGCCAGTGGAAAGGCCTACAACAGGGAAAACAAGATCAAGAGCCCATCCATCTTCCTAGAAACACAAGAAGCTTTAAATAAAGTCAATGTTACGGAAGTAGATATCATTTAGGCAGTTTCATTCCCTCCTGTTTCCAAGTGATGCATAATGCCTTCAGATTTTTAAGTCTTAATGTAATCAGAAACTCCATGCAAAGCCCTTCCATAATAGCGTGTTCAACGTCTTACCATAGGTCTTAAGGAAAGTAAATAATAAACTAGGAGTTTCACAGTATCTGAAAGCTCTTGGTATCTACATGTGTTTAAATATAGAAAACAAAGCCAAGGTGGAGGAGTTACCCATATTTTAAATATACAGGCTTAAGGTTGCATATTTCAAAGAATGTCTCCTCTTTGCTGGCATTAGTTTAGCAAGCAGGCAGCACAGCCTTTTCTCAGTATTGTCATAAAATGTCTGTTGTAAGACTGAGGTGGGGAACAGCTTATTCTACTTGTTTCATCGTATAATTGTGCTGGGGAACAGCCCATGAGATTTGTAAACCTGCAATTGGGGATTTGGGAAATTACGCTTTATCTACAAAAAACTCCCAGCACCCCAAACCACCAAAAAAACTTTTTCAAGGGACTATTTGTTCTCATAAATGTTTAGACTTAAAAAATAAGAAAAATTTCTAACTTGATAGATTCTTTATTGCAGTGGTAAAAACCTATATAGTTTAAAGTATTTGTACTACTCATTCGAAAGTGGCCAGACCTACTTTTTAGCACAGACCTACTTCAAGTGCATTGAGAACTCATTTGTGTAAACAGAAGAGGGTATAATGTCAAGCATAAGAGCAACAGTCTCAAAAACATTAGAAGTGAATAAAATTAGCCCAGTTACCTTTCCGTCTGACCAAAAGTGCAAGCTCTCTTGTGTGAGATTCTCTGCTGGCTTTTATGAACATGACCACCTGGTCATGTGTGTGCTCTGAGATATCTCGGCCATTAATTAATACTATCTGATCACCTTCATTCAGCTTTGGAATGCATTTATCAGCCTGTTTCAAGACCAAAGAAACACATTAATGTCATTGCATCCAGTTGTGTAAGTAGGAACACATCAGGATATTAAGTTCATCATGTAAGCAAAGTCTTCACAGTTCTCCTGACAAGATTTCATCTTTTGTATCAGAAATTCTGTCAAAGGATTCAGATCTAAAGGTGTCTTTCACGCTTCTCAATGAAGATAAGAAACAGTTCAAACAGCATATCTATAGCTATAAAAGGAATTCATGTTAATCAAACAGCCACCATCAGATTGCTTTCGAAGATCAGGTTCCAAGCCTCAACAGCCACTGAATTTCTGGAAAAAGTGTTTTGGGTACATGAGATAACAATTTCAGTTTTGATGCAGTAAATACTGAGAAGTTCAAACATGATTTTCATGAACATAATTTAAATAACATGACATTGCCTAGGCACGTACTTTTTAAAATTCAAAGAAATCCATACACATTTCATATTCCTGTTATTTAGCAGATTCTTGTTTGGTGGATATTAAAGGATATCTACAAATAGAGAACATTCTTCCTCTCTTCATTTACTGAAAGTTTTAACAGGAAGATGCAGGCAAGTACTCAAACTATGATGCGCAAATGTTCTGCATTTGTGAAAAATTCTTTTGCTACCTGTGCTGCAGGGAACACTAAAACAAGGTTTTCCCCATCTCAGATGAAAACTTACATTACGTATGGTCTTGGATACCACAATTTAGATTAACTGCTGAACTCCAGGGCTTGTTTGGCTTTTTTTCTGCCACATTTCTTAGAATATTTAGCTCTGAGTTCAGCAAAAAGCCATTCAAGCTATGGTCAGAATATGATGATGATGGTACTAATATGATTAAGGACTAGAGCATCGTTAGCATGAGGGAAGACTAGAGAGCTGGGAGTGTTTAGCCTAGAGGAGAAAAGCCTCAGAGAGATCTTGTCAATATACTTAAATACTTGAAGTGGAAGGCACAGAGAAATTGAAGTCAGGCTCTCAGTGGTGCCCAGTGACAAGATCAGAGGCAACGGGCTCGAAATGAAACACAGGAGGCTACATCTGAGCATCAGGAAACACTTTTTTACTCTGAGGGTGACTGAGCACTGGAGCAGGTTGCCCAGAGACACTGTGGAGTCTCTCACTTCGGAGTATTCAAAAGCCATCTGGGATGCAGTCCTGGGCAATTGACTCTAGATGAACCTCAAGCAGAGGGGGTGGGACAAGATGACCTCCAGATCCCTTCCAATCTTCTGTGATTCTCTAATATGAATGTGCAGGATTCTACAATCTTTGAGTGTAAAGTATTGTAACAACTTTTTTTCATTGCTATCCAAATTTCTATTTCGTCTAGGAAGTGCCCAGCAACACAAGAGTGATATATAAACACTCATTCATACAACAAATGAAATGAAGACATAGACCTTTACTGCTATTCTCTATTCATAGTTCTTCCTTGTTTTTCCTTAATGCCAGCACACATTCCCTGAATTTTATTCATCCAACATCGTTAGCCCTGCCAAACAACCATCAACAACCCCCTGAGTGGGAAGAAGACATTCAAATTACATTATATCTGAATTATGCCTTGCACTGATGGCTCCTAACATAAGTTTGTCAATGATGTACTATATTACCAACCAAATTAGGAAGAAGTGGAAAGGACAAGTGATAATGAAAAAAAAAAACAACAAGAAAAATGCAGAATAAAAAAAAAATAGAGGCGAGGATGTGAAGAAGAAAATAAATTGGGAGCCACTTCTGCCGGAGTATAAAGTAAAAGGAAAGAAAACTTAAGACCTGTCTTAGTGCCACAAAACAAAGAAGAAGAGAAAGAAGCAAGAGAAAAGAAAGATGTATGCAAGAGGAAAAAATCCCAAGCATAAGAGTTGCTTAAAAATTTAAAGAAGGAATAGTTTCCCCCAACTTTTTCCATAGAAGTAAGGAAAGAAAATAATGAAGGTGAGGGAAGATTGACAATGATTCATAACAAACAAACAGAAAAAGAATGGGAATTAAGAACAGCCATGGTGTTCTTCAACACTGATTTAACAAGGTATTCATAGCTCCCCAAGAATATCCTTGCCATGTGTAAAATTTAGAAAAGGTAACACAGGTAAGACTGAAGAATATAACTATGAATGACTGGATAACTTAATAACTCTCAAATATTACTGAGATATTAGTTATTCTCTCTGAAATATAAATATTTGAAAAGATAGCAAATATAAAGGTTGCATCCAGTCAGTCTAGTAGAGTCAAGAAGTCAACAAGAACATGAAGAAAATGGTTTCTAGTCTCCTATATTTGTCTATAATTAAGATTTCTTGGCTGGCTGGTGACTATTACTCTTTATTACAGATAGAGATTAATATCTTTGCTGAAACAAACTTTGTTAATCATGCGATATGTTAATGCCTCAGCTCTTTTATGTGAATCATCTGACTATATAAAATACATCTTGAACGAGAATTAATTCCTTCTACACAAGCATAATTTGTAGATTTTCAGATACTAAGCTTTTCCACACAATTAATTATGTCAAAGGCTTCCTGTCCTATTGACACATCCAATGCTTCATTTTATGCTAATCACCTTGTTATTGCTTAAAGAAGCATGAAATCTTTTTCAATTGAAAGCTTTATTAAATAAAACCATAATGATATCTTTAGCACCTTAGGACATAAACACTATTTGTGATAAAAAACCACAAAACAGTATAAGGCTTTAATTAAAACAAACAAACAAAAACTCAACAGCTGCAATAAGTAGTTGTTCCTTAGCTACAATGTGTTCTCACAACACTTTTGACTGCTCTGTCCTACAATTTTCCCAGCATACTAGAATGCTGCTTTATTAGCGGGAAATTTTTAGAAGAACTTTAGGATGTGTAAAGAAAAATATCGTCTTGTTTTTGGTGAGTAGATTCGTTTCCTCTCCTCTACAAAAAATACACATATTTTTGGAGAAAAATGGAAAAAAATTATCTAAAAGCCTGAGAAATAATCTTAGCAAATAATACTACCAAACGGCATCTGTGAGGGCAATTTTCAGGGTAATGAGTGAATCTAGATCAAGTTTAAATAGCAGCAATGAAGAAAAGACATCACTGAGCTAAAATAATGTAAAAATGCATACCATAGACTGTTTAATTTGAACTTTCAAATATCAGCTACATCTCTTTAAACAATAAAGAGCAGGTGAAATTTCATTTGTGGTAAACAATATAATCAGTGTTAATACTGCTTTGTTCTGAAAATAAGTATATTTTTTTCCTCTTGTGATAACGACATGATTTCTATAGCACTGTTATTGAGTATATTACATTGGGTAACCGATTCCAATTTTTTCTGTGATCCTGACAATTTACTCACTTAGTTGCTTACTAGGCTAGAGATCTAATTAGTCACTTGCCACCAGTGGCAGACACTTAAATGAAGTGTGCAAGTTAGAAACGCATTCCTTTTCCAATCCAAGAGAGAAAAAAAAAAGATCAATACTTTCCAGAAGACAATCTGAATCTGCCAAAGGAAATGACTGCCTATGGAGAAACATCTTTCATTCTCTGACTGTGGAATGAGTCTGCTTGCCTTATTTAATTTCAGTATCTCAAATCACCCTTAAAAAGTTTGCTAGGTTGACCACGAAATGTTTTAAGGACTGTTTTATTTTCACTTTGTAGATTTAAGTTATAATTATAATTTCCTACTAATCTTTTATTCAAATAATTACTATAGTTTATAAATGACTGCATAAGTCAAGTCACAAATCATAAATGTGACAAAAACAACCTCTCAAGCAATCTGTTTTAGCTTAATTTGCATCGTGACATTTAGATATCAGTCCTGTGACTCCTTATTAAATTTCAAAAAGAGTCTACAAGAGTATATCATATTTTTAGGATTAAGTCAGCAATATCAAGTCTGCACTAAAATTATTTTATGAGAGTTGGAAATACAGTTTGGAAAAAGGAGAATGAAAAAATTTGAGATAACAAATGTCCCTACAAATTTATGTACTAATTATTAAGAAAAAAAGTTAAAAAGATGATACGTTATTACTATTATTTCACAATTCAACAGAAGAATCCAATGACTATATTGATTCTTATAAACATTTCACTTAGTCCATAAACATTTCCATGAGCAAAAATCTATGGCAAAATAGAAACAGAGCAAACATACTCTGCTCCCTCTCCCCTGCCAGATATCCTTCCAGCCTATAAATATTTTTAGCACTGAGGATTTCCTCAGCCTATTGTGGTTTGCCTAGTAAATAACAGCAGTTTTTCCCCCCCAAGTACTTGTCCTCTCCTGACCACCCACAAAATTATTTTAACCACGGCATCCTTTGTCAAGGAGTTTCACTAGTCTACAATCTTATGCATCAAGAACTGCTTCACTAAACATGAATAACATGACTTTTGCAAACTTAATTTGATAGCCCACAGTTCTTCTGGAATTCCCTGTTCTCAGTGCTCCCAATCTTACAGATCTCTACTACATCTCTCTCAAACTAGCTTTTTTTTTCTAGGCTGCAGGGGCCCAAATTATTTATTTCTTCAGTGAATGCTGTTCCCTATCTCAAGTCCTTGCCCCTCATCAAGCATTTTCCAGTTCCAGATGCACTTTTTGAGATGACAAGAGGACACAAATATGCTTTCTACTTGTCTTGTTTGGGTAACACTTCTAGATCCTTTAATCTGTGGTTTAAGAAACCGCTGGTCAAACCAACTCCTAAAGAGAACAGCTCAGCTGCTATCTCACACTAGTTATGGGGTCCAAATTACTATTTGTATAGACCTCTGAGAGAGGAGGGAGTAATAGAGGTAGGAGTAAAAGCCTTACAAATTTACTTACAGGTGATCCTGGAGTTATTCTTGATACTACTAGTGGCATTTTTTGATCTACTCCACCCTAAGGGAATGTGAAGTAAATAACAACAATAAATATATTATTAAGCATAAGCAACATTTAAAACAAGTAATCAATTATTTTTGTTTCTATATAGGCAGGGTTAGTAGGACTGAATTTTCATCACTAAATGGGGGACTAAGGGGTGGGTTGTGGTGTCTTTATATTTACCAATTTCCAGTAGACTAGATCCAACGTCTTTGGCCATATATTTTAGTAAGCAATAAACAGATAAAACGCAACATTTATTGTAACCCTGTTCATCAAACAAGCCTAATTCAACACTTGAGCTGGCAAGGTGGACAGTCATCTTAGATGTTGTGATGAACGTGCAAGGAACATGGTAGGATCAAAGTGCCAGACAACTGTACTCCCTTATTCTCTTCACATGACATTTGATTACTGCTGCACCAATAAATGCCTGAGATGAAAAGATCAAACTCTGCCCTGCTAATTTACACTACTCTGCTTAAATGGAATTTCAGTGAGGGAATGTAAAACATTTACAATAGTCAGTTATTAATAGTAATTTCCATTTTCTTCAGAAATTAATTTTCAACTTTCCTATAGGATTTACAATAGATATATTAAATTGAATAGCGTAAACTATTTTAGTTGTTTTACAATACAGAGGTCCAATTTTTCAAATGTTCATGCCTTAAATAAGGCTTTCAAGTTCATATTTAAGCAGCCAAATAGGCAGTCTGCTTTGGAAATGTGCCATGCCCATAGTATATGCAACTGAAAACCAGAGAACTAGTGACTTATTTTTCTAAGTGTTGTTTTAGCATTTAAGGATTAGGCTGTCACTTCTAAAGACACGAGAAATTCCTGCAGAATATACTGTTTTCTCCAAATCATTACATTAGAAAACAAAAAAGTAAACTCAAACCATTATATTTAAAAAGTATTTAAAAATATCTAAAAGACTGCTTGGTACCTTTAGATTAAATCCAAACTTCCCATCTTCATCTGGTATGATACGCACCAAAAGTAAATCTCCTTCAGTTAGGTCATTCTGTAATACATAGAAAAAACCCACAGATTTTCTAATTTTTAAAAGAAAATAGCAGCAAAATAGGGAATAGTACATCCAAATTTAGATGTGCTGAACAAAAACACTCTATGTAAATCCACCTTTAAAATAAGAAAAGGATATGGTTGTAGAATATACCTATGGTAGTAATCTTTTAAATTGTAAAAATAGCAACATACCTCACAGCAAACATTCTCTGGTTGCTCTGTACTAACACCGTTACTCTCACCTTAGCTTTCTCGATTGATAACTCCTATTACATTTTCAATCTGTTGTCACCAAAATGTTAAGTGCAACCCATGAGTAGAATTGATTCTACTCTAAGAACTATGAAGTAACTACTTTTCCCCTGATTTTTCTCCTGTAAATGGGTGCATTTTTATTTTCTGCAACAGAACCACAAAGCAGATGGATTAAAAGGTGTCAGCAGCTAATGGACAGGTAGGATAGGAAGTTCTTCAGAACACCTCTGGAACAGGCTGGAGACAGGAGAAAACTGATCCACTACCATAACATTAGTGGGGAACAGCTGCTTTCCAGTCAGTTCAGAATTCAAATGATCTTTAACACATGCCTGGGATAAAGCAGAGATGTTCCTGCTATTCAGACATATAGCAACTTGAGTTATCTGATCTTTCTCCTTGGAGGAAATAAGATTTAATCACGTGAGTATTCCTATTCCACTAGGAACTTCCCCTGCAGATGCTTCTAGAATATTGGACACTTTGGAAATCAATGAAGTTGGCAAGCTTGTCAATCATACTGTATACACAACCTTGGATAAATTTGAGTAGTAAGACAAGATCTATTCTTATTAGTGCACAAAATATGCTCATCCTAATATATAAACCACAACTTTTGTTCATTCTTAAACTACAATTCAAAGTTACATTCACTACTGGTTTTAATTTCAAAAGCACACAATTGAACATACCTTATCGCAGTAGTACTGACTGGAATCTTCTGTTGAGCTACTTTTTGTAACATTGTCATATGTTTCTAAGAACTGTTTATCCACCCCTTCCAAAGGGTAAGAGCCAGAAATGTTGCCAACTCCATTGGGAGACTGAGCCAAGGCTTTAGGTGAGATATGGGTCAGAGAACTTCGCGCTGGACTGTTATCCAATACATTCCTTTATTTAAAAAGGATAAATATTACAAAAGATATTGTTATTCCGATTTTTAAATTAAATAGTAAAACATACAAATGTACTGCCCAGTTAAAAAAGCAAGACATCTTTATACTTAGATTTAACACCACTTCTTGAGGTTCAGGGAAACAGGATTGAAGTGTGATTTAAGCCTATCATTTGATCAGTGGACATCTAGAAGAATGGACAAAGTAAAACTAGAGTAGCAAAACCACTTTTAGCAAAATATTTTGATGTTACCACTGAAAAGCACTGTTGCAGTGCTATAGTAAATCATGGTAACACATAAAGAGAGCTGAACTGCAAGTGAAAGGCACCACAGTTGCCAACTCTACCCATGAAAAATCTTTTGCTGTGATTCTACTCTCATTCCTGAAAAGCAACTTTTTTTTTTGTTTGTTTTTGCAATTCCTCCTTCTTATGAGTGCCATCTCAAACTTATCCCTGTGGGAGAAGGCAATTTGCAGAAAAGCTGTGGTAAATTGTCAGAGAAATAGGAAGTGAAGTGACAATGAAAGATTTAATTACAGTTAATATATTGTGTTACTGAGTAGTTACAACCACGTAGAACAAACCAGAATTAAATTAGGGTGCAGATCTGGCATTCAAGAACCTTAACATTCAAGGATAACTAAAGTCACTAATTAAAACGCTCAAATCTGAGAATTGGCCAAGTTGCCTGATGGTGCTCCAGGACCTTTCAAATATTCATTTAGCTACATTCTCTCTTATGAAAAGGATGAAATGCAGACCATTAATAAAACCAAACCTCTCCTTTAATTGGATCAAACTCATACAGAATAACTGCTCCTTCTTGATAAATCCTATCTAATGTGAAAATATCTGTCCTGGGGAAAGCTTAGGTATAGCACCATCAAATTCTGACAGTGTTAAAGTAGCAGAAGTATATGCTGATAAACCCTGGCATTAAAATTTGTAAATTCAAACATTTACTTCTGCTTTGGTAGTAGAGCTTTTTTTGGTACATGAGCATTTTTGAACCATTTCCAGCAGCCATTGCTAGCTGTCAATAAAGAAGTAATACTACACTAGAGAAGAATGTACCTTAGGCTTTTAACAGACAGGACTTGCATTACAGTGAACTTTGATAATGCAAACACTTATTTTTCAGCTTAGGAAAATCTGATTGCAACAAATGTAAACGTTCTGAAAGATGCCATCAAGCAAACATATTCTTGCCACAGTACTTCTGATTATGTGTACTTGGCAATGGGAATGAGGTGTTTTGTGCAACATTCGCAGATTTTTCAGTTATTACAGAAAATATGTTTTCAATGTTTGGGAAATCTTATTTATTTGTTGCTGTCCATAATTTCAGAATACTTTGAAGTAGTGAACTATAATGACACTTAAAGGAATCATACTGTCAAAATGATGTTTTTATCTGATAGCTCCCAGGACATTTCACGATTCCTTCGAGGTCTGCATTAAGCAGAGGAACATTATATATGTAAATACGATCTAATAGGCTTTCCAGAACATAGTAATTGTTAAAAAACCATTTCACTTAGAAGTTGAAATTACAGATCATAACAATTTTTCAATGTAGAAAAAAAAATAACATCAGGAAAATATTACAATATATTTCAGTTAATGTCATCTGGCACTATATAAAGAGTCACTAGATAAAATTACCAGTGAATTTTTGCATCATTTAAGTTTTGCAACAGTTTTTAACCAACTTTTTTGTTAACAGTGATTAGGTATCTATTAGAACTTAAGACTTTCCACATCCTAACCCCAAAATATATTTTTTCCCCACAAATCTTTACAATCTTCCTTGGTTTATACATATGTTTATTTGTGTCTTTTAACCATACAAGATCACTACCTTGAAAAATCACTTGAAGTTATGTATTTCACTATTAGTCCTAAAGTTAGAGATTCTATAGTAGAAAGTTTAAAGAAAACTCACTTTGGTGATTCTTGTTCAGATGACCTGTTAAAAACAACATAAAACTAACATTAAATGATCACAAGTTAAATCTTCAAGAAAACAAAAACTAAAGTTCAATTAAAAAAAAAAAGCAAAAGTTATGCTCATAGTAAATTAAAGAGTACTTAACCCTGTGCTGAAAGTCTGAATCAGATAACTATGGTATTTATGAAACACCCAACAAAAATCCCAGGGCAGTTCTAACCACTCACTCGTGCTTCTGGCACAAGCCCAACTACAGGCAACATTCATTTGCTACCACAACTTGAACTATGCAGGAGTTTACAGGGGCAATTATTTAGCCAGACACACCATGTCATTTTAGAAAGCTTTAGATGTAGATCACAATGACTACAGACATCACTGACAGTATTTTTCAAAATGCCAAAACACAGAAAGTTCTTTACATTCAGGTAACCAGAAATGAGCACAGGAGACTTCAGAAGCATGACATTTCTAATGCTCAGTCTCATGATGTGAGAGCAGAGCAAGTGTTGACAGAGAACTTTTAGACAAAGTATAACAAAAGCAGAAGTGGTTACATCAAATGAGGACGATCTAGAATGGAAATCAAAATTTGCAGTACATAGCATTTTTCCAATGCATTCAATTATGTTCATCAGAAATCACCTGAAACAGTGAGCTAAATGTTACTACATCAATTAAAACAATAACTGTAATACTAAGGCAAATTTTAAAGTAAAATTTACCAAAAAGGTGTTTGCAAAGCAAAGTACGTTTAAGGCGGATGGGACAGCTTTACAAATTCAATTAAGCAGTGACTAAAAAGCCTGGAGCGGTCTAAGTCCATGCTGGAAAAATACAAACGTGAAGTAGTTCAGTTGGAATGTAGAATTGCTGAATTGTCAAGTAATAGGAGGCAGTTCACAGTATACAGTTAAAATTTCAAATATCATTCCCTAAAACATCCTCAATACTAAGAATTATGTACTATGATTCATCAAAACTGCAGGTAAAATAGCAGCAGCATCAGTCTAGTTAGGTTTCCTTATATGTAATTTGACAACATGAAGAAATTCTTCCTTGAGAGGCAGAGATAGTGAAACTTGATCCCCACAGACTTTGCAGAGGTTTGGGTTCTATATACTTTTAATATTTTTAAAACATTAACTTCTTCCTTTTTTATTGCAGTCATACCCAACTTCTGACTCCACTGATATCTACCCCTACTTTTCCCACAAATACCTCTGGCTCTCTTTGTCCACAATTGCCAGAGAATTTTTACCTCCTAAATATAAGCAGATCCTATGGAAATGTGTACTCACTTGCTCCCTGACCAGCCCATATCTACATGGGACAACCATTGAACTTGGACAACCATTGAACTTGTACTGAGAGGAGAATGTCAGCTTAAGGTTTTGGTTTCCCCCCCACCCTGTCTAGTCACTGACTTTCACTAATCTTGCAGAAAACTTTGCACCTTTGAAAATTCGGCTCCTACACTACATTTGACCACATTTTCCAAATGTTCTGAAGCAGGAACAGAGGCAGACAGGCAGTGCTAAGACATAAGCCTTCTTTCCTTAGGAAGTTATGCTAAAAATAAAGAAACATTGTATTTATTTTCATTTAAGCTAACAGATTTTTTGATGAGGCAAAGAACAATGAAACTGTACATCTTTTCTACATTTTGCCACAGTAGAGATACACCTCTATTACCAAATTCTGTGCAGAATTCAAGTTGCCATAAGTGAACTCTTTAAAGGGCCTTCATGAAAAATTTACATGCATAAAATTGTGATGCAAATAGATGCAATGTCCCAATTTTAAGATATTATCTCCCCTCTTTCTTCCCTATAGAAAGAGGCAATTTGAGAAAAAAATTATTATACCATGTATAAGTGTACAGTAAATTTTCCATTATCTCAGTAATAGCTTTGGAGACTTAAATGCGAGATATAAATTCTTAGTACTATTTGATGACGATTTATCTGTTAAATTATTACACTTTAATTCAAACATACAAGCTCTAAATGAGTTACTGAAAACTCTGCAACCTTTTGAAATGGGAAGAAACGTAACTAAATATTTGACCGAGAATGTGACCAAACTCGAAGTCTAGAAGAATTTATCACAGACAATGCAGCTGCATCTTCCTAAAGCCCTTAGTAGGTCAGCATGCTAGAGCTGCAGAATTTTGCACCACAACAGAGTTAAATAGTATTTCTAGCATGTAATTACTCACAAATATGATAAAATACCTTGAACATGAATACCTAGATGATATTTTCTGGCTACACAGTATTACACATTTTACTGACCTATCTTCCTCTCACAACATACGACAAGGACTTAATTTTAAGTCAATGAAAGACAACACTCACCAGACCAGCCACTCAACTTTTTCATTGAGAAAGAGAGCCCTTCTTTGCAAGGAGATTAAGCTTTCCATTGGTGCAGCTAACAAGCAAACACTTCAAAATTGCAGGTAATTTCTCTTTCTTGCTTCGCAATATATCTAAAACTATGCCATTTCAATCTTGCACTCCCTATGGATTGCTCTGTTGATAATGACCTTTGTACTAAAACTGTTTCCCTGAGAAGTCTAACTCTCCTCTTCTGTCAGAAGGATAGAAAGGTCTTAAGGAAAGACCCCTCCCCCCCATTTTGGTGTGACCTACCAGTGAATTCTGCTATTCTGAGAACTGAGGATGATAAACTACAGCAGAATAAAACCCCAAGAGAAAAGGGACAAGTGAAACAATAGCACTGTAGCAAAACTCTCCTTTTACAAACAACTGAAGGAAACATCTGTAGGTTTTGCCCTTGTGCTGTTCTTGAAGTTCTTAAAGCTTCTTTTATTGTAACACCTGGAGGGCTGGGGACATTGAGTGTGCCAGCACTTCAATTACCACTTTTTGGAGTACTTACCATTAAACCTGGGATTATTATTCATAAGTAAAATAAGTGGAAGATATTTTCAGAAACACTTTTCTACTGTCTTTTAGAGAAGTTTATGCACAGAATATTCAGCATTTCTGTGAAAGACTGCAAGAAGGTGACACAAGTTCTTTGTGCTGCATATATAAGAGTACCATTACAGAAAAACTTGAGGCCATACACAAGTTTTTCAGTGATTTTCTAGAAGTTCCAAACATTCACATTTGTAAACTGCTGCCATCACCATTAAACGGATACTGTGTTACTCTGCATTGCCACTATTGACCATATTCCAGTTTACTGACTTGCTATGAAAGTTTCATGCATTCTGATACACAGTAACTGCTTGGATTGCTGCAACATTTGCCTCATCACAGATTTGTAATTCAACTTCAAAACTTTTCATCTGGATGCAAAATGTAGCTTTTTGAACTGGCACAGAAAGTGTAGGGTATTTGAATAAGGATATATATTTAAAAAGAGACGTTTACATCTAACCAAAATATACCTATGTACAATTTTTTGTGTATATTTGAGTGGGAAAGCACATAAAACTTAGTCTATTAATAGTAGCCTTAAAACCCTAATTTAAAACTAATTGAAATATTCACAGATCCACCATCCAGTTTTAGGATATATTCCTCAAGAAAGGTGGAGTATACAAACGAGGACAACGAACTTTTGTGAAATGCAATAGATTTCCTAAGAACAAAGAAATTATCATATCTGTATATGATTAAGAACTAAGAATAAATAACAGTTTAAAATGTGGGATATTTATAATATTTTGCAATTTTATACCAAGAAAGCAATTACTAGGACATGGTTGGGTAAATCTGAAGAGTATTTTTATCAACAGTAAAGTTTTAAAAGTTTTGCTTACAAAAGAAATTGTATTTTAGTTAAAATAATGATGTGTTCCTATAGTACATTCACCAAAGCTCACTATGCAGTTACAGTTTATTGTCTATCAAAATGGTAAGCTAAAAGAATTGAACAAATGCAGCATCCGTTCAGGAAATCTATTTTCAGTGCAATACCTTCACCAGATGATGCATCACACTCACACCAGGAACGTATGTGCACTTCCAGAAATTCATAGCACAGTGCAAGTGAATTTCCTTTTTGTATACTAGTTCATCATTCCATTTCCTTCCCCTCCAACTCTGGGGTTGTACACATTATGCCATCTATATCACTAACAAAAGACAGTTTTACAATATAAGTTAACAGAGGTTTATAGCTTTACAACCATTTAAGAGAAAAGTTTATGAACGAATACGTTGCATTTATAACAAGTAGAATTTTAGACTTAAAGTAATTTAGGGTGGAAGGGATCCTGAGAAGTCAGTAGCAACAGTGCTTCAATGAAGCAAATGCAAACCTCTCGAAGAAAACATCCTCAGGGAAGCTGCATCAAGACTAGAGAAAGCAAATTTTGACTGGAAAACTTGTTATCAAACAAATGCACTCATTACTTGGTATGTTTTATCTCAGTGTTATTCTTGAAATAATTTTAAAAGCCAAAATAATAACAGTACCATGTGCATATGCATGTAGGCATGGTACAAATAGAGTGACAGAGTGAGTACAACATACAGTGAGAAGATAGACTGGATTACCTGTTCTGAACTGGTGAGGCACAGCTGTAACAAAGTGTTACATAGCGAGAAAGCAAGCTATGACACTTTAGAAGGCTAAGTGTAGGCTCCATGTCTATGTTAGTGTTAATTTTTCAGTCGCAGTAGCAGTCAGATGAGGTGCACAGCAGCAGGGCAACAAAAAGCAAGAACTACTGGTAGGGGATACTTTCTTCACAAACACTGGGGAGCCCTGGGCTAAACAAAAGTCCTCTTGAAGTCCTCTTCAGCACTGTTTTCTCTGACAGGTGTTGTAAGCAGCTATGATTTGAGATAGTTAGATTAAATAGGCAAACCTATTTATGCCCTGTGAATAAAGTTCTATTATAGATGTTAATTTTGAGAGGAGCAATTTTTTGTCTACACTACATATGTAATAGACAGCTCCAATCTTTTCTGCAGACACTAATAAGAGAGAAAAATTTCTCCTTTTCACTATGTCTGAGCCTCAAATTTTTCTTGAATGTGAAAGCACCTTAGATAATTTGGGTAGCAGAAGCAACCTACCTACACATAACACAATGCTCACAAGTTTGCCCTGGGTTTCTGTAGTTCACCTGTGCACATGGTTTGCTCTGTTTTCCAATTTTCTTTTTTCCAGTCAGAGACTGCAGTATACTCCTCAACTTTCAGTTAGAAGGCAGAACATTCACACAAAGCACATTTAAAAAAAAAAAAATCATTTTGTCCTTCAGAGAAATATAATAAATGACCAAATATTCTTGACCCTCATCTCCAGTATGTTCCTTTAAAATATTTAACAGCAAACATAGCTCTAGATGTTGACATGTTTATACAGTACAATATATTTAAAGAAATTGAAGAAGAAATATTGACAACTGCTATGTTTTATGCTCTCTAAACTAAGAGCTGTTCAAGATAATTTGTTTTCTAAATTGTGTACTGTTTTATAGAAAGAATATAGAACTTGATTGATTCCTGTGAGTGAGTAAACAGAGCAAGGAAGAAAATCGATTATTAAGAAAATAAATATACTTGGTACTGTCAGGAGAGAAAAAGAGTGTATAGGGAAATAAATTCAGGTGTATGTACTTTGCCAGCAGTGGTGGCTTCTACATTTCTGATATCCATTAAGGTTCTGAATGTGCCTTGGTAGTATTAGGTAGGCAGCAAGTGTTGTTACACGAGTTTATCTACAATTTACCTCAAAAAGCGCTACATCACAACACATCACTTTGAAAGCAGGTCTATCTTGGACCACTTGTTTTGAAAAAAAGGTGAAAAAGGGTAAAAACTATCGACCACCCCGAAATGCTGATGGCAACTGGAAAAATAAGTGAAGAGCCATATTCTATGCTAACTGCAGCTCGTACAGAAACAGCTTCAGAAACAGTAAATTAAATTGATGCTTACTTTACAGAAATCAAGCTGTTGCATGATTATTATTATTATTATTATTATTATTAAGATAGACATAACCATTCAGTGATTAAATATCAGCATTTACAGTTGTTTCCTAGTAGCTCTCAAAAAATGTTTCAGATTTTTTTTCAGACCAAAGCTATCCAGTAGTTATAATTAGCATTAACTAACACCTCTATCAACAGTCTCAGACAGTGGGCTATGCAGTAAAAAAAGCCCTCGAAAGCCAATGTGTATTAGCAGGACTATGAGGAGCTACTTTTTGCTCTCCTCTAATGAAAGAGAAATACTGAAATTGCAAATCTGAGGGTTTTTCCTTAGCATATTTCCATTATGTCGATTCAAATCTACTGAAGACCAGCATGGCAAAAATGGGTAAGTTGACTTTACAAGATTTATCAGGACACTGGAAGGTGTTTTACAGTTAATATTTAAATATTTCCGATGCGTGGCAAAAGTCCAGAGCAAGTGTCCATATTCAATACTGAAGATATACAAGGTAAACTTTTTTTCTTAAAAAACTAACTTAGGTGATAGGGTAAGATTCCTTCTATCAATAAAGCATTCAGGGCAAGAAAAATTTTACTACGCACACATACTTAATTTTACTTTACATTTTTCAACAAGGGGAATGAAGCAAGTAAAAACTACTGTAAGAATGCAAAAGGAAAAAAACTGGAAGGTGAACTAACATAAACAGGTGAAAACTTCAGTGTAGAGAAAAAGCTTTTTTTTTTTTATTTCTACAGTTACTTTGTATTTTACTTCAGTTGTTAAAAAGGAAATTGTTAGTGACTATTTTACTTCACGAAAGTCTAACAGTCAATACAACAAAGGATCATTCATTCCTTGCATTACATTCTTCTTACAAAACACACAACTTGAATTTAAATTCATCAGATTTATGCAAGGATTTTTTCATTTACCTGCAGAGTATCAAATATTATAAACATACCCAAGAAACTAAGAACATGTTTGGGCTAAGATGCATGGAAAATTTGGTTTATATGAGGTAGTAACAGTAATTATCTCCAAAGTGAGTGATATTACTTAGACACTGCACAGACATTTAGGGCTCAGAAAATAAAGGAATGTGTTATTTTCAAATTTAAGACACCCTATTTTCACTGTCTGAGAAAGAGCATAAAGGCAGGCTTTTCCAATCTATTCTCAGTAGGTATAGGATAACTGAAACAGAAAGGAAAGGGAAAAACTACATGGGAAGTAAAGAAAAGTCAAAAAAAATAAAAATCCAACTGGTAGGTCACGATCTGCCAGTCACAGAACACAGCATGGTAACTTAGTTTTCTGTCTACAGCGTCTACCATCATCATCTCTTCTTATGCCTATCTCTCAGTATTTTTACTCAGAAAATACTTCTTAAAGCGTATCACCTGCAAACTTTAAAATGCAGGAAATACATGATTTCCTATCTGTGACTATTCACAACATCTAGAGACATCACTTATGTACTATCATGGCTACTAGTGTCATCAGTACTAATAAGTAGTACTAAGGTTCAGCTGGCTTCCAATCAGAAAAATAGAAAAACAATTTAGAACACCCCAGTGACAAACTCCAAATATGCATACCACATGTCAATTGTTCTTTTTTTCATAGAAAACTCTCTGTTGCAATGTAGTAACAATATTAGTATAAAATTTAAAGAAAACAGTTTCAATCCAGAATTTAAAGCTACAGTTACCAGCTGCATACTGTCACAGAGGCAGGTGAGTCCTATCAGCTTCCATTAAGACATTGCTTCTCAAAATACATCTTGCCTTTAAGTCACTAGGCATCACTAGAAACCATTTTCGTTTTGTAACAGTACAAATGAACCTGCATTTTAATACATAGCATTCCCCCCAGCTCAAAGTTTTAAGGTAGTTGTTTTCTTTTTGGGACTGAACAATTAATGACTTTGTACATTATTTCTGAAGTTAATATTGTGATAATGTGAAGATATTCATTAAGAAATATGGGGAAACCACACGTAAAATGTAATACATGAGCACAAAGATAGGTGCTTCAAACCCTGGAAGCAAATCTAGCAGTGGCTAGAAGACCACTGTAGAGGAGAACGAAGTTGGTCATCAAGGAATACAGCCAAAATAACTCAATGCAAAAAGCAGAGACTGCCTTTAGATGAGCCATTGACAGTTCCTCTGTGGAAGAAAAAAAATGGATGACCACTAGCATTATTATGTTCTTGTGTTTACTCAAATGCAATATCTTTTTCAACTGACAGTGCTCAGCTGATGGTGTGGAATATGAGTGAACTCTTATAAGATTTCAGTTTTTCCCCCCCACAAAAAAAGAAGACTTTATGTCAGGTAGAAAAGCATTGCAAAAGCTACTAGGAAACAGAATATCACAGGCAGGCCTTAATAGCTTCTCTAATTTTACTTAGAACTTTAGAGATGAAGAGTTGGTTTGTTTTTAAGTTGTCATTTTGTGTCATGGCATTTGCAGTACAGCAACTGGTCAAAATAGAGCTTATGCAAAGAGAAAACTGACTGAACCCATCTTAATATTACAATTTATGCTGATTGTTTTACACTAAAGCTCTTTGATTTTCCTGTTTGGTGCTTTTAGGAAAAATCAAAACAGGCAGTGGATTGTTTGCTGAAATCCTTACCTCCTCTGTGGACTGCGGTTCTGAGAGAACTCCGAATCACTGTCCTTTGATGTGGGAGAGCCCTTATACGTATAAAAAACATCCTCTGTTTCAGTGATATAACTAATCTCATTTGTAAGGTTATCTACAGATGAGTGTCGTGGCTTACGAATTTCATGACGTAGTCTAGGACTCCGCCTTTAAAATACAGAATACAAACACAAGTGGGAAGATTAGAATATTTCACAAAATTTTATAGAAATAAAATTTCTATCCTATTGCAGTTATGACCAGAATCTTCATGGCAGGCTTATAAGCCTCATTTTAAATAATAAATTTTTAAGCATTTTGTATGGTATACCAGGCATTGATACACTGCTAGGTTCAGTACATGGAACTGATTTGGTGTTTCCCCCCTGTAAAATGCAACCTATACTGTTACAGTTTTAATTATAGGATAATTCAAGTCAGAATGGACTTATGGGGGTCATCTAGTCCAATCTTCTGCTCAGAGCAGGGTCAACTAAGGCCAGAGGAGGCTGCTTAAGGCTTTATCTAGTCATATCTCAAAAAAAATCTGAATGATGAGACTACACAGCTTCTCCAAGCAATGATTGTCCATGTGATGAAGCAGTTTTTGCATTATATCCAGACAGAACCTCACTTATTTCAACACTTACTTGTTGCCTCATCCTCTCACCATGCAATACTGAAGAACCTGGTCTCATCTTCTAGCTAGCTTCCTCCTAAGTAATGCCAGGCTGTTATTAGGCATCTGGGAAACCTTTGCTTCTCCAGGCTGAACAAGTGCAGTCATCTCAGCCTCTCCTCATTGGGTAAGTGCTGCAGTCTCCTGACTACCTTAGTGGCTCGTGGTCTTTGCTGAGCTCACTCTAGATTGTCAGTGTCTTTTTTGTATGAGTGGACACTAAAGGGCTGCAGCATTCTAATAAGGTCTAATAAGTGCTGAGCAAAAGGGGGCTATCACTTCCACTGACTCAGCATCTACAATTCTGTTAATATTGCCAGGTTAAAGTGGACTTCTTTGCTGTCAGGGCACACCAGGCAGCTTGTGTACCACTTCTGCCTATGAAGAATATCAGGTCCTTTTCCAGAGTATAGCACTGTAGACAATACTGTTGCACTGGGTTCTTCCTTCCCAGGACTCTGAGTTTGTCTCTATTGAATTTCACACATTTCCTACTGGGCCATTTCTCCAGATTTTCAAGGTCGCTTTAGAGGGCAGCCCTATCACATGGCTTATTGATTCATCCCTCCAGTTTGGTGTCATCTGCAAACTTTATGGTCAAGTACTCCACTGCCTCCTCCAGATCATAAAGATGTTAAGTAGGACAGGTCCAAAGACAGATCCCTACAGTCATCTACTTGTTATTGTCCTCTAGGTAGAGTATGATCCATTAACAACTCCCCTCTGAGTCCAGTCATCCAACCATTTTAATGTTTTTTCAAACCACCCTGCTGTCCACCCATCCTGAACATAATGTCTTAACTTGGATATAAGATTTTGGCAGACAGTATCAAAAGCCTTGCTGAAGTTAAGGTAAGTGATACCCACTCTTCTATCATCATATCTATTCTCAGAATGACAATGTTTAAATATGTATGTACACACTACATAATTATTCTGCTAGAGTGCACACAATTAGAAACAGTAGGAGGTTAGAAGGTATTGGGAAACCTAAAACTGGATTTACCAATTAGGGGTAACAGGAGGTGATCGAGAAGGAAGGCTTTTGGTCTCTAGATGCTCAACAGATAAGGACCGTCTCATAGATGGGTTCCAAACCATCCCTCCTATAACTTTTCTGCAGTACTGGTTGTTTGCAGACCTGAAAAGAAACAAAACAACTATATGTGAATTATTTTGCCTAGAAAACTTGTATGAAATAAAATACACTTAAGAAAGTCAACTTTAAAATTAGTATATTTTAAAGAGTGCCCTGTGCTTACCCCTCCTTACTTATGCATTTACATTCTCCCAGAGACATCTGCTGTCCCTCACTTGTGCCAATAAAACTGATTGTTAATCCCTGCTACATTGCTAATCACAAGTCTGAGTAAAAATAACTTTTTCTAAGAATGATTTTTAAACCAATTGTGTTTAAGAAGACAGCGGGGAAAAGGAAATCTGTATGTCCTACTGGCACTGAACCAAGTGCCTGACAAAACACAGTTCAAATACAGGTAAAATATTCTAGAGATTCCCTGTTAATATGCATAAAGGGATAACAATTCACCAACAGCTTCACTGCTCACAGGACAACTTTACACCTCTATCTGCTGCCTCATCAAGTAAGAGCTACACCAGGCAACACTGTTTCTGGAAAGAAGTCACATTTGAGTGATGTGTTCCTTATAGGAATAAGTCATTAGTAAAAGATCTGACATGCAAATAGAATCTCCAGGTCTGGACTGCTTCCTGGGACAAGATTCTGACAAGATAAGGGTTGCATCAGAACCAGAACCTCAGATAGGAAAGCAATAAAAATGTATTACTAGTGAAATTATACAGCAGAAGGAAAATTTTTAAGTAGACTGAAACTGAGATAAACTAACTTTTATGCTTCTTTTTATAGAGCATTCCACAAGAAAAGGGAAATAAGCTGCTCATTCTTGAGTTCACAGGCCTAGGATTTCTCATGGAAAACAAGCAATTTATGAGTTACAGAGAAACCACCTTTGGCTTATTACGACCTGAGCTGTACATAATGAGCAGCTGGGATAGCAAAGAGTATGTGAGTACTCTACTATAGAGCTGAAAATTCTCAATTTTACATGGCATTAAGAGAAAAATGTTGCTTATGCCATGGATATTACTCACACTATATCAAACCTTAAGCAGACTTTGCACTGTACTGCTTTTTGTTTTTATAAGTAAAAGAAAATGCAATCCAAGACTTTTTTTTAATATACACCGAAGTATTTCACATATCTTGTTCATGATTTTAAAGGAAATCAATTCCTTCATCTTCCAAACGTACTTTTAAAGCTTCTCCCAGTATGAAAAACAAAGAGGGAAAACTAATATGAACTGCCTGCGTATCAAAATCAGCTACCCTTGAATGTTTTTTGCTTAGTAAAAAAAGTCCATGAACTCAGGAGAAGCTTTTGCCTGTATTATCCAATTTATTTTTCTAATTCTTTTAAATACCAGTGACAAGGCACCAACTACTCTGGTCATCTAGAGAAACAAAGAGTTCTTTCAAAGAAGGCTTACATGGTTGGAGCAGAGAGGGAGATTGGAAAAAGAGGATGCATTATGAAAAATGCATTTTGAAGAATTACACATTAATCAGCCTTTCTTTTTTACAAGTGCCTGTTCATGCATTTTCCAATGCAGTTGACTTTTGAAGTGCAACATTACTCATGTGATGGGAGCCAGAGCCCTAAACCCTAACTCTAATCCCAAACCCCTAACCCTGATCACAAAATCACTTATACAGTATGTTCTCTAGATATTTCAGTTAAGACACATAAGATAAATAATCTCCTGAACTCCAAGTAGCTGCCCTTCAGATGCCAAATACCAGGATATTTCTCAGCAAACACTCTGGGAGGCTGCCAAAGCTTTTCTGGAATGGGCTATAATATCTTGAAGTGACAGTTCCTTTCTCTCATTTATTACTGAGGCTATCCTTGGTGAAAAAAATAGATACAATTTTAGCTTTTCAGAAAGGAATGAGAATGTGCCTAGGAGAGGTTATTTAGCATTCAATCCAGAAGCATTGAATGAACTAACCTCTCAGAACCTGAGAGATGTGATTCAGTCTGCTCCTAGAATAAGGCTTTCAGGTGATTTATACAACTCAGAAGCCTAATTTAAATGGAATTCCACTAGTACCTTAAGCTAAAAGAATCTAGAAGGGCACAGAGATTTGCAAATAAGAGATTGTACTCAAGTATTGCAAGAGTTCAACTATTTGAACTGATGCAATAAATGCTAGGCTATTTGCCTCACATAAGGTAGAACTTAATATAAGAAAGCCACAAATTCCATAGGAAAACTTGTGATACTTAAGATGGTAAAACCTGATTGTAGCCACCTTTAAAGCTGACAGAAGTTGCATTGAAAGAATTACTGAACACAAGTCAATCTTAAAACCTCCAGGGTTGCATGATGTGGTTGGTGAGGTTTTTGTGTGAGTGTTTTATTTTGTGTTTTTGTTTGTCTATTTGTGTTTGTTTGATTTGTGCAATGCAAAAATTTGATCCCTTTCATAAGGGAGAATGCAGAATCTCTTTTTTCATTGTGTAGCTTCCACCACGAGATCAGAGCCATCCTTGAAAAGCAACATGGAAACTCATGTTGTCTCTTACAACATTCCACAATCACAAACAATTAGGAAAGTAAAAATTTTCAATACGTGACATATGACTTCAAAAGTTACTTGTTCACCCCTTTTCTCAAATCTTTTGAGAAATTAATTTTGCTGAGTGACATTGGCCAAGTTCATAGGAACTACTCAAAGCCTTTCAAAATTACTGTTGCTTCTTCTGTACTTTAGCCATCTTTCATAGCAATGGTTGCTGAGTCACTTCTCCCTCATGTGGATCCTAAACTTCATGTTTGTTGCTGGTATAAATAGGGTCAAAGAATGCATTAGTACAGAGGATATCATTAAGCTGATGGAAGAGATCACCCTAGAGATTCCTTAAGAGACCAAGTAAGCAATTCAGCAGAGACAGGGCCTTGGAACACAAAATTACTTGAAGAGAATTCTGTTTTAGTAACTCAGATCAACAATGAGAACTATCCTGCATGCTACAGGCTATTAAGAAACTGTAACAGCAGATTTTAAAAAATAAAATGTTCGGTAAAAATTGGAACGATACTAAACTAGGACCCGTTGGAAGCCATGCTGTTTTCTTTCCTAACATTTTGTAATGCAGTGCAATCTCTGTGTGTATATATGTATATAGGAGGATTGGGATTTTGAATCTCTTTGCAAATTTGGGAGAAATAAAGGACTCCAGGACCTGACAACCCTACAAACTTTGAGAGTCACCTCCTCAACACATCCACTATAGAAAGAACAAGTTCATATCACTCCATAAAGGAGCTAATTCTAAAAGTATGGATCTGTAAACCAATAGAAAATTAGAATACTGTTCATACAACAACTTGTTTTCTATTATCTAGAAACCAGACCATCTAGCTATGATCTAGTACTAGGTGAAAGCCTGGAATTCCACTCCAGCAGAAAACACAATATTTTATCAGACTTCCTACAGTTGGACAGCCCTCATGGGTTAACTACTTCATTTACAAGCAATACCAGTCCACTCAGTATTAATTTCTGCAGTATTTAAAGAGTCATGAGAGTATAAAAAGTCAGAGAGGCACCAAAGTCTAAGAGACTATTTGAAGTATGATATCATTCAAAAATTGAAGTTTATCCAAATAGAAAAGCGAGAATCAGCCTGATAAATTAAATGTAAAGTTAAACTGTTAAGGGAACACACTACACAAAACCCCACACGGACACGCACCACACAAAACCAAAAAGAAAACAATAAAATGAATACTTCTCCAAAATCAGAACAAGCAGGTTTCTAGAGAGTCTACAGAGAATACGGATGATCAAAGGATCAAAGAACACTCCAGAATCTAACATTCAGAGAAGATAATGACATAAGACTTTATTTTTCATTACAGAATGTTTTTGGGGGGTGGGGACCAGGTATCGATGAGACAATGAAGACACAGCACACGACACATTTGTAGCTGAATTGCTGATAAGTGAAACAACCGAACAAATCAACATAATGAAATAAGTCACTGGAACTGATACTTATCCAAAAAAGTCTAAAAGTCTCTAAGATAAAAGAGCAGAACTACTTCCATAAAACCTCCCACTTTAAAAATCACACAGGATGGCAAAAATAAAGGTCAATTGCAAATAAATGGAGAAAGACATTACAATGTCAAATGACTAGGCAATAAACTGGTAGCTTAACTTTAATGAAGACAGGGCCCAGTTACTGCATATGGGAAGGAATAATACCAACTTCATCACTAGACCTTAGGTAACATCATGAAACTATCAACTCCATGACTAGAAGAACCTAACAAGACAAATGAAGGATTAGAAGTGTCTCAAAAGGGGTATCTTGGATACCTGAATGGGACAAAGCTTTTCATCTTTATGTCAGTAATAAGTGGTTGGTATGATGCACTCCAAAAATTGCCCTAACATATTAAATAGAATGTGTACATGACACTAAGGGCTAAACATTTCAAAACAAATGTGTTCAGCAAATTCTCTTACTGGATCATTATCTACACGACATTTTTACTTTCTCGTGTTTTTATACCACAAGCTGAACCAGCAAAGTTGAAAAAATACCAGTAAAACATATAGTCAAACACCTTTTTAGGAAATTATAGGACAAGTTCTACTGTAATGATACCATGTTGCAGAAACTGAAACCACAGCCATATAACTTTTCATATGGTTCATACACAGAGTGGGACAGAGCTATTGGCAGAACTGAGCTCTGCCACTCCAACTCGAGCTACCACTGACAAATCCTCCCATTCCCATTAATGGAGCAAAACATGCTTTCACACAATACTTACTTTGTGGGATTTCTAGAACCCAGGGTCCAATAATTTGATAATATCTTTTTTTCATGAGGTAGTGACTTCTTTGCCTGAAAAAATGTGTGATGCTCTACACAAGATTTCCAAAGATTTTTGCATGCTCTGTAATTTAACATGTTGAAGGCAACAATATGCTCTCTGGATTCATTCTGTAACAGAAGGAAATACCACGTTTCAATATATACAAGCAGATGAAACAGTAAACACACTCATAAAACAACAATAAAATTATTTTAAGCTTAAACAGGAAAAATACATCTAGGGGAAAAAAAATAATCAGCATACAGTAGATTTTTAAGCTGGATATGGCCAAAATAACCATGTGACCATGTGACATTCTAAATTGCAAAATGTTCAATTTAAAAGTTAATGAAATAAGTAAGCCTAAAGTGGTAAAGACCTGATATATATGAGTGTCATGTTAAACAGGTTTTCAGGTTTCCAGTCAGATCTTGACCTCCTAAGACTAACAAAATTTTTTAAAACATTTCGTTAAAGGTACAGTGTAAAAAGGAAAAGCCTTCATTCTTTGAATTCAAATTCTTCACAGAAGGCTTTAGTTCAATAATGTTCTTTCAAGTGCCATAGTATGCAAAAAGCATATTCTTGATAGTCTTTTGGAAGAAACTGAAGATGTTAACAGTGATCCATCTTGGGGGAAAGAAAGTAGCTGTGATGAGACTGGAGTTGCTGCTACTGTTATTAAAATCCAATCCTGCTTCCTGAATGATAACATGATGCCGCAATGAGGAGAATCAGAAGGGAGTAGAATACAAAACTTGTGTGTCTTGGTGCAAACTCTTACAAGTAACTTCAGTGCCAAAGTGCCAGTGAAACACAGGTGTAACACAATTGTGCCACCCACAGTTATGCCCAAGAGTTTTGCACAAGATATAGCTTTAGTTAGTTAATCTAATTATTGATATAAAGAAAGTGGAATGGGAGCAAAGGAAAGAGAAGAAATAAAGATAACACGAGACCCAAGTCAGTCGCTATCACAGCTCAGCACTTCAGTGAAAAAAAAAAAAAGCAAGTTTTCATCACTCATCTTTTCCAGCTGCTCTGAGTTATAACTGATTTTGACATCTCAACACACAATTAAGCAGGCAACCTTTTGCTTGTTCACAGCAACAGTCCTGTTGGGAAGTAACTACAGACCATTTTGGCTGGAATACTCAATCTATTTTTCTTATGTTCTTTTTATTTCTAGGCAACAGTTTACAAATGCCATGTATCAGAGAGCAATCTCGCATTCTGCAAATCACTTCATGTCTAGTTCAGAGAACCTACTACACTTCAGTTGCTATTTTACAAAAAAAATGAGAATCTCAAGAGAAAGAAAAAAAGATTTGCCTCTTGATTTTACAGAAGCATTGAAAAACATTTAACTGATTGCAGTCTTTTAGGATTGCTTTCCCTATAACTATTAAAACATTTATAAAATATTTTCTTTTTCAAAAAGAAAAGAGTTTTTTTATTTGTCTCTTGTATACTGCAACCAATTCATCTTTTTCAGTTCTCCACAGTTGCTTCTGAGTAGCTTATATAAAATAAGATATAATTATGCTTGCCCACTTTAACCCAGAATTTCTTGAAATATAAAAAGCATACATCGGTGAAAGACTTAGTGACAAATGCCATTTCTGACATACTTCCTGTTGGTTGAATACCACTTGAAGGATTTACTACTCCAGTAGACAAAAAAATTGAAGTGTATAGATATTTTTGTTGGCCTGAAGCACTAGCTTTTCAATTGCCACAAAAATTATTTTACCCAAACATCTCAATCATCCTGAAAAGCCATAATGTAAAGATAAAGAATTAAGTACACCTAATATTGTTTTTAAATTTATGTAAATTTAAAACAAGTGTGTTTTTCCCAACTGTTACCACTGAAACTTCTTAGCAGGCTCTAAGCAAGCTAAGAGTTTTAATATGAACTTAAAGTAGGAAAAATATTTTCAGAAGTTGCAGAAAAACTTATTCAATTTTTATATTAACATAATCTGCCTCACTAACGGCTACCATTGCAAGTCATGCTATTGAATCTGTTTTAAAGGTGAAGAGAGTTCTAGGGGAATCCAAGGATCTAATACCTCTCAAGTTCCAAAAATGGCATTTTAATAATTACCAAGAAATGAGGATTAGAGAAATTTGTGGCCATTAAGGTAAAGAAAACAATCCTCCATAGCTAAAGTGAGTGTCTTGCTAGTTCAGCATATGGAAGAACTTTGCATCAGTTGTATGCTTATTACATACCTGAAAATATCTACAACACAGAAAGTAAAGATATATTTTAATATGCAGAAAATGAAGTTGTCTTCAAGCATTAAGCACACTGAAAAGAAAATTTTGTTTCTGAAAGGTTCAAAATGTTGTTTGTAAACAGCACAGTTCCTATTCCTACCTTAAATCTGATGTAGATTTAATGAAGGGTGCAAGACTTCATAGCAACAGACACTCACTGATTCAGCAGTCTTGCTCCCCAGTCCTTACCTACCTCTTCAGTAGAAACTGAATACTGCATACTCCTAATCAAGTAGCTATCAATGGGTTGAAGCAGTAGGAGGGTAAAAGAGAATGTGAGTAGCAGGAAAAGAGTGAGATAAGGTAAGTTGGGTTTTCAGAAAAGGCACATAAGAAAAGAAAAATGAAGTAAAAGAAATAAGGAGAATAAATCAATGGAACATGGCAGATCCCAGAAGACTGCAAACTCATTGCCTTTGAGAGTTTCCTGTAGATTTTTGTAAAGAATCTACATATGACATACAAAACATAAAAGAAGTGCTATAGCACTATGATCATCTTTAGTCAAACCTTGTCTATGAAAATAGAGTATCTGCTCTGTTTTCCCCACATTCTTTCATCTTCCTTACTTTCAACCTCATTTATTATTTCCTCCTGTATTTCCAAGCGAGGAGCTAATCAATCCAAAGACCCACACCAACTCAGTCATCTGCCCTCACAAGCCCCCTAAGTGACCCACTGTTCTGGCAAAAGCCCCCAGGACTTCACTCCCAATGCACTGCATCAGTAAGTTTTTTCAAGCAATACCACTGGAGTACTGCAGACTTACTGCCTAAATTCCAAGCAAAGGGGGCTGACAAGGATGGATATATCCATAGATTTAGTAGCACACCTGGTCTGCTTTCTAGTATGTACTGAGAAAGAATAAAAAGGTCAAGCAGCTAGCCTTCTTTTTCTGTAGCTTTTTAAGCATAATACTGTGTGCATTACTACATAGATAAAAAACAAAGAATTATGATCACTTAAGGGGAGATAAGTTAAAAGAAGAGCCTTGAACTGTCGTCACTTATCAAATGTTTAATTGAACAAATTAAAATTGCTGCTCTCTTCAAAGGTGACACAAGTCTCCAGAAAGAAAAATTCATTTTTTGACAGCAGTCAAGTCTTATATAAAATATCTGTATTCATTACATAAAGTACAGAGACTGTTGTCTATGGACACTTCATTTTTCCATATTTTGAAAACACTGCAAGAATCAAAGAATGGTTTGGGTTGGAAGGGACCTTAAAGATCATGTAGTTCCAACCTCCATTTTACTAATCACTCTCAAAGAGTTCTGTTACTACATTTATTCTCACAGGTACATTTGGAAATTGCTGCTCATAAGCCTTCCATATTTGTGTATATGAAGATATTGCGATTTATCAGTGAATTTTTAACCCTCAAACCCAGAGGAAGGTAATACTTGCAAGTGTAATATTATTGCACTCACAAACCACTAATTTGTCAACCCCTCCTTTCTTCCTGCAGTGAAATACATATGAACAGACTGTGACATGTTTGCATATAAACCATATATTTAGAAACTTACAGATAACAAAAAAACTGAAGATCCCCTTAGAGTTGGTTGGGATGCACTCTATGCATGCTATGCATCTGTGCAAGCACTAGTGCAGTAACACCCTCTCTAGATACTAACTTCGTTTACACGTGAATCCTGAGCAGTAACAACATGTACATGCTTGCACGCCACTCAAATTTCAAAGAACCCACCAAACTGGGAAAAAAGAAGGACATACAGGAAAGAAATAATATGAAAATATTTTTCTTTTGGGTAAAAAAAGTCTCCATAGAAACCTGTGTTTAGCAGACTCTCTAGTATATGTGGCTCATGAGGTCTTCTTGTAACACAGCTCCTATCAGTTTAAGAAAGAGCCAGAAAGAGCCTTCATGAAGTTTAGCTATAAGTTAATAGTTTTACTATGTCTGAGTTCTGTCTTGAACTGAATTAAAATACTTATACATCTGCTGGTCCCTAGTTTCTGCAGGGTTTTTTTTTGCTTTTACTATCATATTAAATATTCTATGGTCTTTGTAAAAAGATATCTTAATTTATTTTTGTATTGTGTCAGCACAATAATAATCAGTAATCAAGATTCGCCCCCCCCCATTAAATAGACTAATATTTCAGGAGCCCACAGCATTATGAAGCCAACCCTTAACAGCAGAAAAATTACATTAGTTTTATCAAATATCTTCACATACTTTGCCAATTTCTGAAGCCCTCCATGTTACACACAGCAGTTGTTTAGTAGATTCGCTGCATTGAGTAACTCTACAGGGCAGGGAGAGTGACAAAAGAAAAAGCAGCAGATGCTGGCAAGAAAATGGAAATATGCTAGTTTAATAAATATTGGAGAAAAGATGGAGACCTGCACTTATCCCAAGTCTCCAAGGGAGAAGAAACCTTCATAGGAAAGATACAGTGTATTAGACCAAAAGTGGAAGGATTCAGTGTTGAAAAGGAAACAAAAAATGGGAAACAGAGAGGATAAGAGGACCAGAAGAGCAAGGCCAAGTTAACAAACCAGAATTTCAAAGGCAAGTTACCACAAAAGAAGCTTTTGATCAGCAGTTTATTGCTTATATTTAAGGCAAAAATATTGAGTATGATCACCTGATCAAAACAAAATTAGATGATTACTTACATGTTTCTGCCGTTGTTGTATAAAAAACTTTTTCCTTTTAAAGGAAATTTTTAATATGTTCACCCTAAAAGAAAGAAACAGACCATAAAATATTGAATAATATTTAGAGGGATAAAACAATGAAAAATAATACTGCATACAGTGAGCCCGAAAGATTATAGCTGTTAAATATTCAATGAATATTATGCAGCCATCTCCTGTGTTGAGTGGCAAATAGATATCCTCATTTACTCTTTAAATAGTTCACAGCAGTTCTCTCCCACCAAATCTATTCTTGCAGCAAAAGCTTGATGACATCCTTTTACTAAGCTGCACAAATGTTAAATGTGTCAAGTTTTGTATAACTTTAGAGTCATATGACAACTGTGACTAAAGGAACAAAACTTAAGACCCTAAAGACATGACAAGGTTGGTCATACAACCATGGAAACTTCCCAGAGGCTTCACAGAACTGACTTCATAATGTGAAAAATATCATGCATTTGTGTTAATAATGAAACACATCTTGTAGATAAAATCATAATTGTAGAAGAATGAAAACTGTAAGAAAGAGTGTTAATATATTTTTCACTTCATTAACATTGCTATGTAAATTATGTGGTAATTTTAGAACTGAACACCTCTTGTCTACATATACACAGTATGAACACATATTTATAAGGTAAAGATTACAATTGGAATTGGTGCTCAAGTAATTTTCATTTTAATTATAAGCTTATCAGTTTTGCTAAATTAAACAAAATTCTACCTACCTACGCACCTTCCTACAGCAAAACAAGATTTGTCTAAAATACCTAATTTTTCTCTGCTGTAGTTCTACTTCAGTAACTGAAAAGTTACATTTTTCAGAAAAAAGAATTCTCTTGTGGTCAGCTGGAATCATATGGATGCCTAAAGGAAACCTTTTTAAGTTTTGATCAAGTCATACTTGTAAGGAAAAAAATCATAAAAGGGTTTTGGAAGTTTGCTGCTGAAAGTCCTGTTGATGAGACTGTTTCACAGGACATTAGATATCATCAGGTATGAACTATTTTGAAAGTCATCTCAGTTCTTGCATGACTCTCAGCAAGCGGGATAAATGGCATAAAATTCATTCCCCACTGCCCATGGGAGATGCACTTGAGTTATAGAGCAACATTGTTCCTGAATACAGGATAATATATTTGCCAGTTACTAACAAGAAAGGTAATGCAATGAACAATCCCCGCTCCTGCACAAGAGGTGGAAAACTGAGTATGTACCAATTTCAGAAAATGCTTTTCTCCATCAATTACAGAACCACAGACAAACAAGAATTTTATTAACACTATGCTTTCACAACCAGGTAAACCAGTGTGCAAATTAATGAAAAGTTGCAACCCATTATATATAAATCCTTCCTTGATTCTAGTATACTCTGCTTGAACTAGTAGCACTCAAGTTTTGTGCTTCTGGTTCGTTCTTACCACATTTCTTGACTTAGATTAAACTTCAACAAACAAATTTTTGCAGTCATTCTCAGCTTGCACAGTTGCTTCCATGATCTGCTCTTATCCTAACATCAAGCCAGCAGAAATGCAGGACACAAAAAAGTAACCTTGCAGACTAAGCAAAAACTCCTCCACCCAAGAACAAAAAGGGAGCCAGCATCCCAAAGTACTAAAACTCTCTTAATCTCTCTGCTCTATTCCCTGCTTTTTTTTTTTTTTTAAACATTGATTCACTGCATGATCACATAATCACTTCAAACCAAATCAGGGCTTTAATTCTCTTTATTTTTACACTCCTCTAAGTAGAGCACCCCTCTCAATTCCCTTCATTCTTCTTAAAGTACAACTAAACCTATTTAGTTCAGGGACAAAGAACACTTGTTAATCTGACAGTTTTATTTAGCATTAACTAAAAATCATTTGCAATGTTATGCCTACAAGTTGAGTGAATGTTCATATCCAGCAAAATCCAAAGGATCCAAGAAAGACGATAAAAAGATCCGAGAGATTAAGGGATCAAAGGATTTAGATTTAACAAGTGCTTGAAGATGCCATAATCAAAAATTATCTGAATAGAAGGCAGTTACTGTTATTCTAACTGGTGGCTCAGCTGTCCTTCTCTCTCACCAATAGTCTGTTCAGTGACTAAGCAACATTCACAAATCATTAAATTTCATGGTCTACTTATAAAGCACTTCATAGTTGTAACATATTAAAAATGATACATCTTTTGGGTCCCATCTTCCTGTCATTCGTAGGATCAAAATAGATTTGTCACTCAGTGGGCCACATAATTGCTAATTTCTGATTAAGCTGCCAGTCCTGTCCTAGTACTTAGTACTAGCAGTTGGTACTTGTGACCTGAAGAAAAAAATGTTTCTTTACCTGTAAGTTCACACTTTGCCATTGACAGATTCAGTAGGAAAAGTTCTGTCAAATTTGTTATTCAAGGTAATTGAGATGTTTTTCAAATTTTGACTAGCACTGTAGTATGCATTGCTCTAGCAGTTTCTCTGAAGCTTTCAAAGCAATGAAACTGCATACACAGAATAGTATTTAATAAATAACCTTAATTGCTGCTGATGTAGAGAGTGTTTGTATGTCTTTGCCATTAAGATAATACTTTACCTGCAAAATCAATTTGGAAATTATCACAGAACAGTTAAGCACCCTCAGGAATAACTTTCCAGAGCACATAAAATACTGTGTTATATCTGGAGTTATTTTTTAAACCTATCTTAGCTTGCATTGCCTCTGAGTGATCAGTCAGCTTCTCACGTAGGTTGCTTTGATTGAAAATCCTCCTTTTGCCAAAGAAAAATTCTCACTGCTTCTGTTCCTGAAAACTTTTGGTCCCCTTTGACTACTACCATATGGCATAATTGTATTGTTGTCATCCATTAATGCTGTAGAGTACTTTACTTAAAATTTTGGAAAGAGCGTCTTGATGGTGTTTGCTGCCACCTTGAGTTCTATCATACTAATAGTGACGTAGGAAAAACTATTTAGTACAAATAGTGTTACATAAAAAGCCTAAATAAGTACCACTTCAATCAGGTGAAAGGGCATTATAGAAATATATTCTGCTTTGAAGTCTAAAATGAAAGTGAGAGTGCATACTACAAATGCACCCCAAGCTACTCTGCGGTGGTGACTTTCGGTGTTTGCTTGTTTTGGAGGGGAGCAGGGAATGGACACCATTCTTTCATGGAGAATTATGACTAACCCGTGCAAGATGCCAGAAATAAAATATCAAAAAGTTAGCCCCTATATAGGGAGTTCTTGTTTTCAAGTTGAGAAGATATTCTGAGAGAGAGAGGGAGAGGGAGAGTGTGTAGGACAGCTTGGGAACAATTGATAGCTGTCAGCTGAAAATATTACTGCCTAAACCTTTTATTTTAGAGTGGAAGTTATCTGAACTGAAAAACCTATGGTTTTTTTTCCCCCCTCAACTTCTTCCTGTAAATGAGAATAGGCCTTCGTGAAAGATGTTTTAGCATCTGTATTTTATTCCTCTGTGCTTTCCAGGAGTAAAAGTAGCACAGGAAGTTGTGGATTCCTCCTGTCTTGTGTGCTATAAACTCTCTTTCCCTTCCCTAAAATAATCATATAGTCAAAGATTTTAAAATGCCATTGCTATGGTTTTCAGAAATAACTATTATCCATACATACCTTACTTAGGTCACTAAGTTAGCAGAACAAGACTTGCAGAAGACAGAAAATGTGCCTCCAGCTGACAGTTTTTAAAACCTGCAGCTGTTTAAAGAAGTCGAGAGATTGAGGTATGAAAGAGCAATGCTCAGGGTACAAAGATGAAAAATAAAAGTCTTTTGTGCTTTAATGTGCATTAGCAATGGAAAACCATAAGTTTTCACTGTGCTGCTGTGTGAGAGCATTATTACTGACATACATTTATCTAGGATGACTGCAGTGCAACCAAGGGAGTTGAAATGCAACTGACAGCAAACTAAAAAAGAAAAATCCAGAGACTCTGCAGTATATTTTCCACTAAAATTTAAATTGAAGCTGATTTTATTGCTTTTCTATATGAAATCGCTGTTTAGTTGGGTTCCTAAATGAAAGGATGGAATGACTCAAGTATTTAAAGAATGCTTCTAAGGACTGTCTCTAAGGGGCAAAAAGCAAGTAGAATGCATTAGGGTGCATTTTTCTGTCATAATTAAGAACAGTATATCATCTTACTGAAACAGTTTTCCAGAAAAATGGTTACAAAATATATGAAGAAATTATGCATAACAAGACAAAGCTATAGTTTATCAAGTATAAAAAACAAATTCATCCTTACTTTAAAAAAGAAAGACTGAGAAAAATTCATTCTGATCCAATCCAAAAACCAGACTCCATATAATTTTCTAATTTATGTTATCATTTTTAGCATGGTAAAACTAATAAAGCCCAAAAGTACTATCAAAAACTATAGCTTAAATAATTTCTCATGTCATTCACTTTAGATTTCTTTTTGTAGAGATTATTTTCTATGACAGTATCATGCATTCTAATGTTTTCAGTATTAAAGAATAATGTAAAAGTCTCTCCCCTGCTGATTCCAAACCTTGTTAATGTTATATAGCCTTGTTTTTTGACATTTAAAAATTTGCCTAAATCATATTATCCTAGTTCCAGTATATCTCAAACACCAAATAACTCATTTTATGTTTCTTTTCAAAAAAGAAAATATCTTCTTTCTGAATGTCAGGATAAAATGTTCAGACAGTTAGCTGCTCAGCTTTAATAGTAGTGCTTATTGGGTTTATTTCTTGTTTTGTTTTTCTGAGTTTTTTTAAAGATATTATTGAGTATAACAGCAAAAAATCTCTAAGATCACAGGGTCCTCCTAATCATGTACACATACTTGTATGTGAATTAACTTTATCAAGACTTCACACAGTGCAAGAAGTTCAGAAGCCTTATGGATTAAAAGCCTAGGCAACAGGTTTCATTTTTATCTCAACACAACGAAATACAATGATACTCCATAAAGAACAAATTTACCTACTGTAGGCTTCTTTGGAATAAATGTGAAAGCAAATGGAAAAAAGTTGGAAAAAATTAGACATATTTCTTTACTAGTAAAGGAATTTACCAGGCATAGAAGCTTGTACAGATGAGTTTTCTGTATACAGCAATTCCACCAGATGCAATCCCAATCATAAGATCTAGATTATGGAGATCCTGCAAGAGAAAAACATTGCAAGAATACAGATGCAGTTTGTGTCATTCCCATTTATCTACTTATAAATTTAATTTTCAAGCTTTCTAGATTTAAATTGCTATTCTTGAGGAAAAAATTCAACAACATATTTGAGCTTTGATTTTCATGCCTCTCTTTCCTTTGATGTTATCTAATAGGTATTCTAAATTTCATTCAGTAAAACAAGTTGTAAAGTTCATCCTACTACACTGGATATTCTTTAGGTCAGTATCAAACTAAATTCGCAAGTCTAGCCTTATTAATTTCAGCATAAGAAAGAAGTTGAAGTACTTCCCAAGATCAGTTAGATAAATGTCACAGAATCTTGGGAACTCAATACAAATTTTCTGATTATAAGCAGTTCAAAAAGAGAGGGGAAATAATTCCTTACTTTTTCCAAAAAAAGTCTTAGCAATAAAGACTGACAGGAGAGATGACCACAATTTTGCATATGAGAGTATGTTGGAGAGATACACATGTATACATGAATCTTTGACACACTCAACTAAATCCATTATTAACTAAACAAAAATGGTGCATTTCCTTAATGCTCAACTGGGAAAAAAAAATCATAAATTTATAATGTTTTCCAGGTATTGAGATACTCAAGAGAGAATACATTCTTCCATATAAGCAGACATTTGAGTTTAAAAAAAATAAGAAAAAAGAGAGGGAGGAGGATTCTGGATGGTCAATTTCAGTATAAACCCTCATTGATGTTACAGAAGTTGGAAATATTGGCTTCCTATTTCTTATGATCAATACATACTAATATGTTATTACACAAGTTTCTAAACAGAGCTCAACACCTATATAAATCCACATGTAAGAGTAGAACCCACTGTTTAAAATATCAGGTTTGACTCAAAAGCAGTTTCAGACTGTTTTGTAAAGGATTACCAATGGTAATGGATTCTCTGAAAGCCTTCAGTAACATAGCTGCTCCTCTAGATGGTACTCTGTCCTCAATTAATATATAGTTTTCCTCCATGTCCAATCCCAATTTCTCTATATTAGTAAGGTACAGAAGAATAGAACAGGTAGCATGTGTTCTGACAATACTGTAGAAAGTCTACAATAAATCCCTCAAAAACAATTGAATAGAAGTGATTCAGGCATATGAATGAGTGAAGCTTAACCTAATTTGCAAAGTGATTTATAAACCTTTAGTGAAATACCACAGTGGTTCACAGAGAATGAGCACAACCTGTTTAATACACAGTGCATTAACACTGAATACTGTCACACTGAATTCTAGCAAGATGAGAGGAATACCAGACCTGTCTCTGAGAGAACAGAAAAAGAAAATCAGTAAATAGGTAGCAGGCCAAATACACTCAAAGTAACCCAGAACCCTCAGCACACTACTGCCTCACTTTGCCAAGAACTTCTGCTAGAGGAGTTGGTTGAATCTTCATTGGAAGAAGCTCCCAAAGTGCCAGTTTATGCCAGCATAATACAGGAATTCAGAACTGACACCCCTTTATTTTAACGTTTGGGGAGAAAACTGAGGTATTTCAGGAGATGAACTGCATGTAATTAAGCTGTCTCTACCTTGAAAAACAGCTTTAGGAGAAAGCTGAAAATTGAAATGATTTAGCATAAATAAAGGATTAGCTAAACATTTGATAGGGATTAATTAGGCTAAACTACTCTATTTTCTCCAAGAGCTTTGTCAGAACAAAGTTCATTCCCTACCCCTCTCTGCACCAGTACAAACCACTAATCTCCCATGCTATTTGTTATTTGTTATTGTAACCTAGATCTTGGACTAGCATAAAGAGAGGGTCTCCAAAAGAAATATGAACTTGATGTGCAGTTATTTCCCTTCAAAATATCTATGCTGTTAAATTGCACAGCAAAGAAATAACATGCATCTGTTTGTAAAAAGAAACAGGTAACATGAAAGAAATAATAATAAAAAAAAGTTGTAACTGCAGCCATATGAAAAAAGTTCCTTTTACTTAAACCTGTCACTTTCAGGTAGACTGAAGTTTTGTAAATCTTTTAGTACCAAAGCAAAAAAATAAAAGTAAAAAAATTAAGAATTGTTGGCTATTCACATTTTGCATGCTATTCACCTGCTACAGAAGGCTTTTCCTTAAGACATTCACGATTATTATACTTGTCTGTATTTTTCTTTTTCCATTACCCACTTTGAGATAAGGAAGGGAGTGGAAGAATGAAGCTCAACATTCAAATTATATCAAAACTCAGATTTAAAAGGTAGCATATTTTCTGTTTTGCTTTCTATTACCTTCCTAACAGCTTCTAAATGTCTAGATCTTCAGTTCAAGTGCCAGAAAAAACAGATCACTTCAAACACTTCATGCTTCAAAAAAAACTGAATCGTGATGAAAATATTATTTTGGATTGAAACAGTAGCAAGACAGTCTGCATTTTAGCAGTCTGGAATAGACTAGGCTTTGATTCAAATCTGTACTCTAGTTGATTCAGATCATACAGTTCAGTGTCAGGCAGGGTAGGAGTTCATGACTAATATTCTGACAACCTGTGAGACTGAGGTCATTAAATATGAAACAATGCATTAGGGAAAAAAAAAAACAACAAAACACTGTTTAGGCAGATATCTTCAGAAGGTATTTCTGCTAAGACAGAGCAGCCCAGTACACTGCAATGAAATTTCCTTTAGTTGAAAATGTCTGAGTCAACTTTATCTTCACTACTTGGCACTGGTATGATGACTACTGACATCCTGCATGTAGTTCAGTGGCCTATAACTCAGGAAGAATAATGAAAACCGGAAGAATTTTCAGACATAGCATGCCATGAATATTAAGACAATAGCCACATAGTGATAGTCTTAGAACTTAAGTTGGCTTATCAAAATACTAGGCTACAGTAGAAGCTAAAAGGCATAGACTGATCAAGTTAAGTGTATATAGGGAAATCTCAAGTGTAACAGTAAAGAGTTCGTCATTAAAGCAGAAAGGCGGCAGATGACCCAATAGACAATGAACCTAGGCAAAGTCAAATTTAATAAGATGCCCATTTGCCATTTAAAGTTAATTACTCACTAGAAATCATGAAGGCTTTTACTAGAAGTCATGAAAGCTTTTACATTGTCAGAAGACACAAGAACACAAGAAATTTGTTCATATATGCTAGATTACTTACACACAACCAATGCATGTGAAGGAAGATATCTGATCACATTTAACAGATGCCTCTCCTGATACTCATATGAGATGGAGCACTTTAATTATTTCCTTTCCTTTGTACTTTTCCGTATTTTTAAGAAAAGCCTCTACTGTTTAAGCATTGTATTTCATAATTTGAATGTAGTTACAGTGGTTTCACACAGGAGTACTTTAGGAATTCCTAGACATCTAATGCAACACTCACTTATTTGTGGTAGTATAAAGAAAAACCAGAAGAAAGCACCACGCTGAAGAAAGCAACTTAGTTATTGTATTTCTTCCTCATCATTACAGAAATTTATGAGTTTTTCATTAAAATTCTCAGTGTCAGAATTATTAGCAAAACTCAGAAAAATGTTAGAAAAAACAATAGTCATCTTCATTGAGGATATCATTCATCTGCAGTCACTTAATTTAGTTTTTATACTACAAGCTTTATGCCAAAACAATTTACTATTAGATATAAGCACAAATGGTAAATTGTACACCGGAATGCCAATAAAAAAGAATTTTGGGGATTCGCCTCAAATGAATAGTGTGATCAGATAATTAAATGCCAGTACTAGTGAAATACTAGGGCATGTTTCTCATCAATGCACACCCTGTATCTGAAAGATTTCAAATACATTTTTAGTAGTCATCACTCAAGCTGCTAAATACTGCTTAGATTTAGCCTGGTGTCAGGGAATAAAGAAATTTTAAAAGAAATCTCTATATTCTTAACACTTCAGAAATTAGTGTTAGAAATTCAGATTAATTAAAACTCTTAAAACACCTGCCAACTAACAGTACAGAACAGAGCATTCATTTTCTTTTGTGCTAAGACATTCAGAAACTTTACTAAAACTATTAAGTAAAATATACTGTAGTAATGAAACAATTTATCTTAAAAATACATTGTTACTCTTTCAAGGAGAGCTAACTTATTTGGTTGAAATTCCAACACCTATGTTACACAGAAATTATTGAAAAATTACCCAACTCTTATAATTAGAAGGAACACCTGGTAAAGTCAGTACTTTTTTTTTTTTTACTGCTATTACATTCATGTGAAAAAAAAGAATATAAATTTATTTTCCAAGTGAAAAATTACAATATAAACATACTCTACCACTGTGCAATTCCACTCCATAGAATTCAAGTGTTCGTGCTATATTTATATAGCAGGACTCTGCTTCAGATTGCTTGAGGCCACTAAAAGAGGGGAAAAATAATAAATATGAACCACAGGCAAATAAAAAAATTATAGTGTATTTGTTTAAAGGCAGAAAAGGAGAAGAATCCCAAAGCCCACTGTCTGAGAAATAAATCTCATTAACTAGTACCACAAGTTCTTCACTGGAGAAAATCCTCCTAAAGTCCTATCAAAAAATTGAGCAAATTATACATATTGTTATTACCTTAGCCATTCCGGACCAGCTCTTTTTAGAAAAATAATTTTTATCTCTTATGTTCAAAGGTATGAGGAAACTATTCCCCTAAAACCTTACTTTACAGCAAGAAGCTTTATCTGTAAATATTCTATATTATGTGGTCCCTCAGAAGGAAGTCATTTAGGAGAAAGATTAGTAGCAGGAATGTATTAATAAAATAAAGGGGAGCAGCAGATTAATAAAGTTAAAGTTATGAAACTCACCAAGGAAAAGCCATCAGAGTTTACCTACAATCTATAAGTCCTAAAATACTTTTTTCTCCCGCTGCTATGTGCAGCAAGACATACAAGGATTTGATCTTCTGATCTTCTAGAAAGTTTCTACAATTCTGAGACTTATACATTTTTTTAATTTTTTTTTTAACAGACACCAAAAAAAAAAATCAAAAATCCCCACACATTCAATAATCAGGTTATGTATCCTTACGGAAGGATAGAATCTACTAAGAGTTTTAAAACCCAAAGAGTTCATCAGTGGTCCCCATTTAGCTGGTTCTCCCACGCGGCCTACTAATCATTCATATGAGAGGAATGCAACGAGGCCTAAACAAGATTCATTTAGGTGTGATAATGAAAGTAGTCCTCTCCAATAAAGTGCAGGGCCAAGACCTGTAAAGAAACAATCAGACAAGAGGCAGCTCTATCCTGGAATCTGCCATAGCCTATTGACATTGTGCTGTGCCCACAGTGATCCTGGACTCACAGCACAGAGCAGCGATTCAGGCACTACTACACCCCATTGCAGTAGCTGTGAGAACAGAAGTTGAGTGATGCATGTAATAGCTACACACACTTAAGTAGAAAAGACATCTGATATCATCCTGTCATATCTACAACTAAGTGCAGGTAAAAACAAGACTTTGCTAGGTAAGCTTCCAAAATGACATGCATCAAATTATGTTAATCAAACCCAATTTAAAAAGAACCTGCAAAAAGCTGACATAACATTGTGTTAAGAACTGCAGCTATAAAGCATTCCACATAACTCAGTAATTCTCATTTTTCAATGATAATTCAATTAGATCATGCTCCAGGAAACTTAAAGTTACCTTGAATTTGAAAGCAATAGCCAGTAGTGTGGCTTGAGGATATCAAAATATTGGAAAAAAAGAGTAAGGACAAAAAACAAAAAAATTATTATACTATAGAATGCTGAATATATTTGCAAGAGTACATCACCTTCATTTAAAAAAAATTGATCAAGAATTTTGTTCAGAAAGTCTGTTGCATACCAATAAGAAATGTCTGTAAATGTTAATTCTCAATTTGCATATGCCATCCACACCTGACCTTGTATCTTAAAAGGTCAACAAGAAAAAGTATCTCAGCACAGACTTATGGGTTTTTTTGTTACACCCTCCTACTCAATTACAGATGAAACGAAATTTTGAGGTCCCTAAGCAGATGGTAGTTATTCGGTGAGATAAACAGGCAAGAGGAAACTGGTCTTGGTGTCTCTTCCCAATTTTTATAGCTGTTGATACCCAAGGCCTACCAAATCTTATCTGGCATATATATAAGTTTCCTATGAAGCTTCAAATGCATCCTTCTCCTCAAACTGATGGCTGGATCTTGCAAGTAATAAAAAAACTTTATAAATTTGGACAATATTTTCATCCTAAGATCTCAGGCTGCTTATGCACTAAACAAGAAACAAAAAGGAAACCATGTTAGAAGAACTTACATACATAACCCCCCCCATGTGTTTAGGGATGAATACAGAAGAAAAATTTCTGAAGCTATACCAGTTCAATATGACAACAGTGACTTTCTCAGCAGTTCTGTACTGTCCACTGAATAGTGTCTGCCATGAACATGTTCAGAGAACTACTTCCTCAGGTTTTGCAAAGTAACATAAATCCTGGGTAATAAAAATCTTGCATCAAGTTACAACACACAAGACATAACTTCTCAAGTCTGTGTGTTTCACCAATTCAAGCCTTTTAATCTTCCTTTGTGAAAGTTTCCTAAAGGACAGACACTAAAGAATGAAAATCCTGTAATCTAAGAATACTAATTCAAAGGTTCAACAATTTACAGATAACTTATACGGTCTATAGCAAATATTATTCACCACAGATTAGCAGAAATCTCACTCCAAAGCAAGAATGTTCTCCTCAAAGGGTAAGAAAGTAAATTCTCCCCTTCTGTCTTTCCTTCCCAAAGGCCTGGTGAGCACCAGAACCATTCTCTTCAAGCATATTATGGCATTGAATCAGTCAAAATCATGTCTCAGACCTAAGTATTCTCTATACACGCCAAAGGAGTATGCAAGAAATACTGCCAGGATAAATAATAACTTGTCTGCCTCTCCCTGCACTCTGAATTAAATAGGCCTGAAGAGCCAAGTTTAAAAAAAGATGTTAAAACAATAAATATTTCTTCTAGTCCAGTCTACTCAGTATTTTTATTCAGAACTTCAAATACCACAATCTACGCTAATTCAAATACAGCAGTTAAACTTCTCAGTCATCAAGGGTTCACTCTGCCACAGTCACTCAATAAAAGCATTGATTTCATTGAAAAGACCAGAAAAGAAAGGGGTCTTTCCAACAGACTCCACCACATCTTAGGACCAAAGGTACCTTCTGGTCTCTGTAGGACATAACCAGTTTTATATCTCTTGCTACCATAGCACTAAAGATATGAGTTCAACCCAACCACTTCGAGTCTCTTCAGAATCTTCCCTCCAAGATGACTGCTTCCTAAAGACAAGCAGATTTATTTTTTTCCTGTCCAAAAGTCCCCCTCTAAAAACTACTGAGCCTACTGGAAACTGCATATTAATATGGAAGGAGTAGAGGCCTCAGCTGCTGTGCTTCTGAATATGAACTGCTATGAAAGCAATCAAGATTAGTATCTACAACAGAAGGGAAGTTGCAGTTAAGAGTTCAGTGGTTATCTCTCCTCTACTTCATAAATGCCAATGCATGTTCTGGACTGCTAGGGAACACGTGAAGTTCAGAACTATTCACTACACCCACTATCAGTAAAAAAACAAGAGGGAGAGGTAAGAGTATTGAAAGATAAAAAAAAGAGCTGAGGAACATTAGGAGGAGATGGAAATGGAAATATTTCAGGCTATGAATCAAAGAAACTAAAAGAGTGAGGAATTAGCTCTACTGCAGTTAAAATACAGACAAAGAAAACAAGTCCATAGAGATTCGGATTTCATTTTCCCAAATGTTCACAGACAATTTCTTAGATTGGCATATTTGCATTCGGCTTGCAAATATCTGATCAACACCTCTAATTCTAAAATTGCAGTCTTACAAGAGACAAATCATCAGGGTCAGAAAGAGTAATTAGCAGCACACTGACTGGAATAATATGTTGTATTTATATTTATGTATTTATACTACACTCATGAGAGTGGAGAGAAAGCACAATATAAATTGAGGTGTTTTATGGTTATGGTGGTTTGGTTTGGTGGTTTGTTTTTTTTCCACACAGATAGACAAAAAAATCTATAGAATTTGAAAAATGGCCAAATGTCCTTGTTCCTCAAACATCTAATACAGTGTTCTAGATGGTTGCCATTAATAATGTATAAGGTTAACTGATTTACTGGAGATTATAACTAGATATTTATTTAAATGTTTCAACACATTAACATTATACTCTGAATATAATTAGGCTAGCACCTATTTCACTTAACAGAAGGTAATGAAATATAAACAGCTATTGTACTGAACCTACTAAGAACCTGAGTATTCCTTTTAACATCTTGTTTTTTCTTTAAAAACTCAAGAGGTGAGAGAGAAGTAAAAGTTCATGTTACCTGTGTTGCTCATGTAGAGATTCTACTTTGGTAAGAAAATCTTTGTTCTGCTCTGGTATAAAGTTATAATTTGAGAGATATCCTGAATGATGCACAGAAGCATTATAGTCTCCAAGTTGTGCTGTTAGGAAACAAGAAACACATACACAAAGTTTTCATAGTTAATTGATCATTATTTAGAAAAAAATCCTTCTCATTGAAACACATGCACATATGGGGAAGTGCAGGAATTACAAACTATTTTCCAACAGACAAGCAGTGTTAAACACAGTGAAAAAAGATTTTTTTCAAAATACACTTCCCATAATCTCAGGCACTGAATGACTCAGTAATTTATTTAGTTACTTATATAGCCCAACTTTTGCACCACAAGTTGTAACACCACCAGACAGGCATTATATGCCGTGATGGCACAGATGTGCAGTACTGTAACATTAGAGAACACCAAATTGCTTCAGTAAGAGATGGTAAATGGAATCAATTTGATACACGTTTACTTGACCATAGTATATTAGAAGTCTTCAACAAGATCTGTCAATTAGAAAGCATCTACTCTTCACACAGTCAGATAGAAATTGTTCAACTCCCAACTATGGTGCTGTCCTAGAAATTCAATTGTTAAAACCTTCCTCAGCTGAACATAAGTTACTTAACAAAGCATGTGAAATAACTGCTGATTTACATATAATATTACCTAGCTTCTACAAAAAGTATATATATGTTTATAGCCAAAAAGAAATTCTCTAAAACCTTATTCCTTCAAGAATGATACTGATTAGTAGATATTTTCAAGCAGTTACTAGGTAAAAAGCTAATTCCTATCCACCGTCAGTGGCACATCTGAAAAGCAATGAATGTAAACCGTAAGTTCATAGCCTCAGTCTGTGGAAGTTTTGTTTAAAATCTAGGTCAGCATAAGTTTACACCCTGGAAAATGTACACAAACCTTTTAGCTGTTATGAAGTAGCAAGGTTTGGGGCAGCAAGGAGACTGCTTCAAACAAATTACTTGTCTAATTGCCACAAATTTACCTAGTTTCAATGAAGCAACTAATTCAAACCTCCTATTTCTTGAAATCTGGTTTTGATTAAACAGTTGGAGATTAAACACCAAAAATGATGGTATGTATGTATAAGCAAATCACTCTAACCTGTACTAATCTGCTTTTTTCTGAAGAGTGTGAAATAATGAATAGAAAGACTTAAGTTTCCCAGAAGTTATTTGTATAACTTGAAAATTAACACAAAAGAAAATAATTGATTGACTGCAAACAATTCAGCATAGAAAGCCCCTCAACTATATCAAGGTTCAAGAGCATACTTTTAGGAATAATACTATTAACATTATTTTCTAGGAAAAAAAAAGTATAAAAGCAATATTTAAATGATTCATGTTGAGGGATGGGGGTGTGCATCAGAAATAACTTACAGCTACAACAACTACAGAGGATCTATAATGCAGGGGATAACTAATATTTGCCCCTTATATATTAAAAAAGTATGATTTCTACAGCCCAGAAAACGGAACTACTGTGACACAAAACAATTCCCAGGCAACTGTGGTCTAAAGCTAATATTGTGGCACATCTAATTGTCAGCATCATGGCAAATATTTCAATAAAAAAGTGAATTATAAACAGTAAGTAATTTACTTTGAATGCAGATGTTCCTGATTTGCTCTAGTCCTTTTTTTGAAAGGGAACCTGAATTAAATCACTTAGCAAAACTAAATATTTACCATTAGAACCAAAACATGTTTGAACATTTCTGTCAAATAACATTTATCTGAAGAAGAACATTATAACAACAATGACAATAAACCAAACAAAACCACCAAACCAACCAACCAAAAAAACCTACCACAAAAAAACTAGACAGAAGATTCAGAATTATTACAAGAAGCTGAAATAATTTTTAGGAATATCTATATATTAACAAAAGTCTAAGTCTGCCAAGACTAAGACTAAGGCAACAACAATAAAAACAAAAATTAAAAGTCTTTAGAACAAAGTAGGCATTCTAATAACACTGTCAAATAAAACACACAATTTCATAGATGACAGTAGTTGATTGAAGACCTTTTCCTTTACTAGTCATGAACACAACCCAGCTTTTCTATGAAATAATCTATGTTTTTAAGATTTGTTGCAGCTAGTTTGAACTACAATCTTGCCAGTGGGAAAAGGTCAGATTGTCAAGAATAAGATAATGTAGTTGTCCACTTCAATTTTATTTGCAATAGGAAAAGATATTTTTACTGTAATTTTACCTTCTCTAAAGAGAGTAACTGCTGTTCCTTCATACATTATGAGGTAGAGTCTTCTTTCTCATATTCCAAATATGAAGGTCGTTCTGGTCTTTTTTCCTCTTCCTCCTAGCTACCTGAGGTCATGCCAACAAGGGGAGCAATTTAGAGTACTACTTGCTTCTCCGACTCCCTAGACAACTGTCACAACTGAAGAGAAACTATAAATGCTGATTTGTAAACATCCTGGAAGACTAATGATCATGTACAGGATTTAATTATCCAAGTAGGAAAAAAAAGTTAGGGCATATCAAGACATCAGTAAGAACGACAACCTATGATGTTTCTAGCTCTTTACTGGATTTCTCTAGAAGAGAAAAGAGAAGAAGGAAATTTTAAAGACTTATTTCTAATCTGAGCCTCTCCTGACATAGCTTCTGTTCTGATGACATGAGCCAGCAGATACTCAGTGAAGATAAAGTTACAGTTTAAAAAAAAGCATACTTTTACATTTCTCCATTCTAGACCACTGCTGCTCTTTAATGCACTATAACTGGGAAACAATATAGAGTAAAATGAAAGAAAATTGAACCAAGGATGAGCCAAAAAAACAAATAAAATCCTGCTATTTGAATGTCAGATCTAATATGAAAGGCTTCAAAGAAAAGAATTTGATAAACCATTCATTTAGAAGACCATATTTAATAAAAAGAAGACATTTGTTTTATAACTCCTAGTAAAAGCAGAGTGCAATAGCCAAGTAGCCATGTTGACATACCAAAACACTAGTTCTACAAGCTTTCAATACAATAAGAGTTTATAAATTCTTGAAACACAAATAAAGTCTTGAGATCATATACGTTTACACAGCATATGATTTGCCTATGCCTTATTGAAGCCTAAACAAGCCATCTATTCTTCAGACCTTTAAAAAAGAATTTGTTCAGTTAGAACAAATGTGTACATTTTTGTCTCTGTCTCCTAGCAGTAGAAAGACTCCTGTGAAGGAAAGCATTAAAGAAAAGTGTTATTTAAATTTTTTTTTAAACGTACACATTTTAATAAGATTGTGATACAGAGGAGGAGAAGACCAGGAAGAAGTGTATTTATGTAGCATTGATAGATTTCAATAAGAATTCTATGGGCACAGATGTATCTTCCCTAGACAGAGAAGCTCGAGTAGTAGATATACTACTAAACTTAAGAAGATGACAAAAAAAAAGGTAAAAAAGAGAGCGTTATAGAGGGAAGATCTTACACATATGGAAGCAAAAAAAAGGCCATTGATGCAACAGCTTTTACAGTACTTGCTGAGGCTTTGTTTATACAGTGGGTTTTTTCCAAGAAATCATTGATAAGTCAGTTTATATATTAGACTAAGGTAGCACTGATCTCATTTCTGTACTCCACTACCCCAGGGAGAGGGTGCAAGAAAGACAGTTTGACTCTTCTTGGAGTTGCAAACCAAAACAGTGACAGACAACAGAAATTGCAGCATTGGAAATGCAAAATGAACTGGAAAGAATCTGAGCAACTTGATCTGACACTGAAGAGGCCCCTTCCAAGCCAAATTTGTCTGTGGTTCTTACTTACATGAAGTTATTGTTGACATCCAAGCTTTCTACTACAATATCAAAATAATTATTTGTTTGGTTCCAGCTTAGAAATTAATTCGGTTGTTATTTTGAATGCTAACAGTATCAAAATACCACCTTTCAATCTGGCTCAATTTCTACAGCCCCAGAAAACATAATTTAAAAAAGATAAGTCTTTAGCTTTGTATAACTTAAAGGTTGACAGATTTCTACTTCCCATATATGTGATGTTCTTCAAGGTACAGATGACATGTTGGTCTCCAATTCTACAGAAGAAAAGTGGGTCTCCAATTCTACAGACTTTGCTTGTAAATAATAACTAAAACAAAATTTGCATACAAAGAAATAGCACCTATTTCTGCACATGGGCATTTCAAGTAACTACAGATGTGAGAAGGGAAATGTATGAATGGCTGACGGGGCAACCATGATGGGAAATCAGTTATAAATAATATGGACACTTTGGTCCAAAGGAATGCCTACAAAAGCTAGTCTTTGAAATCTAGTTTAATATCAACTTTCTGAAGACCTAAGAAGTGCACCAGAAAAGAATCTAATCAAATAGTTTAGTAGAGAAAACCAAAGTAGTTACTGATTCTCAACAGTAACTACAAAGTATTCACGTAGTAAAATGCTTCTGGAATCAGAAAATAATCTGCTACAGTAGAATTCAGTTTCTAAAAATGAACATAAAAACATAGATTATTATTAAAGAGGGACTAAAAAGGTTCATTGAGATGTAGATGGAACAATTAAAGACACCATGTTGAAAATTGTTTTCAGAGAGAAGTTCCTAAAAGGACCAAAACCCTCAAAAGGGAATGTTGAGAGAAGGAAAGGTATTTCAACAAGTGGAACCCGCATCCAAATAAGAACAAGAATACTAACATGAATAAGAACATGAATACTAACCCACTCAGCCAGTAAGTAATTTTGATGTCACTACTGGACAAGCAGAACTAGCTATCATGTGGGTAAAACTAACTTGTTTTGTAAAAGGAAATAATGCCTCACACTCAAGAGCCCTTAAAAAAATGTTCAGCCTAGACATGACTGTAAATAGCTGCTTATGACCACTTACGACAGCTGGTCATTTTGTGGTAAGACAGAATGAGAAATTAGGCATTAATAAAAACAAAGGAACACTTGTAGGGGAAAAAAAAGAAAACTATGCATACACAATGATGGTCTCCAAATTATTTACCACTCCAGAATGAAAAATGAGCCAGTCATTGTAATGTCCTTTATTAAAAGAATTAAAAAAATAAAAATCAGCAGCTCAAACCCTGGACACAGTTAAACAACAACACATAAAAAATAATCACAAGAAAAAGGAAGAAACAAATTAGAAAATATAAGCTATACTGAGTTGCTTTTTCTGCATCTCAAATACAACATGTACTTCAGAAACTATACTGACACAATAAAAAAAAAACTAATGAGAAAAGCAAAGTGTAATCCAAAGTACATTTTGAAAAAGTATGGTGATAAAAGACTTCAGGGAGTAGTTATCAGTACTCCCCAAATGTTACAAGGTTTTGAAGAACCAATGCATTTATCTTCTGTCATTTATGTTGTCTCTCAGCACTCACCACTACTCATTTTAGAATCACAGAATCATTTAGGCTGGACAAGATCTCTAAGATCATCAAGTCCAGCCATTAATCCAGCACTGCCAAGTCCATCGCTAAACCATATTCTTCAGTGCCACTTCTACATGTTTTTTAACTACCTCCTGGAATGGTGACTCGGTTACTTCCCTGGACAGCCTGTTCCAAAGCCTGACAACCCTTTTGGTGAAGAAATTTTTCCAAATATCCAATCTAAAACTTCCTTGACACAACTTGAGGCTCAAAGTTCTCTTTATTCATCCAATCTGATTTTTATTCTGAGGCATAAGGGTTACAGATGCCCCAGAAAGTAGCAGAAACCTGACTGACCTCTAAGCAAATGTCTCAGCTTAGATTATGTCCTTCTGAGCACTATTTCACTTCAAGAAAGTATGGGTGGGGAGCACATACAGAGAAAAAACCCCAAATGAAAAGAGGCTAATCAGGAAGCCTGAGGTTTCAATCAGATTTCTGTAAAAAGAAAGAGGGGCAAAATGATGGTAAATTAGAAAAAAGAGTCAGGCAAAAAGAAAGTTGATGGGGGAATTGTGTAGTGTGACCCTCACTGTGGAGCTACTGTTGATGTTTCTCTAAATCTTACAGCCCAACTCTTCTTCTGGGATCTCAGTTTTCTGGTATTCTCAGAATTCTAACTCTCTTATGCCTAGTTCCTGAGGGACTTGCATATTAAGCTCAGCTTTCCTTGAACCCTTACCCTTGCTAGCCTTCCTTTTCTTAGAAGAGGTTAAAGTCCATTTGAATCTCAAGCAACCAGTTAACCTCTTTCTGGACAAACTCTCAAAGATAGATAGCAGTCTGCTAGAGAAACTTTCTGGTTCTTAAAGCAAAGCTGAGAGGGCAACATTATCACAGGAGACAAAAGCAACTGATGCTCAGGAAAATGCAAGCTTAGAAGCATTCATAACATCTTTGTTGGCTTTGTTGCTGTGCTTTAGATTCAAGCACCAATTCAGCAATGGATTTATGCACATAAGAGCATATTCTTATGAAACTCGTGGGACTTCTTACATACCAGTAGGTAGTCATTTAAATAATGGCCTGAAAAAGGTAATTTACTACATGAAGTGATAGAAAACAAGTGCTGCTAAATCAGCTTTGTGACATTTTAAATAAAAAAAAGTAATAGACATAGTGTAAAGGTTTCCTTATTTAATTTTATAGACTGTACAACATTCCTATTTTACACTAGTAAAAACCAAGATGTACACTTCATCATTAGATTTTTTTCAGTATGAGAGTATCCTTCTGACTTAATTTTGAAATTATTTGTAACGTAGCTTAACAATTTCTTTTTAAAAAAAAGATTTCAAAATCCACTGATCATTTTGTCACAAAGCACACTACTGATAAAACACTAACAACTTATTTTTGAGTTGTCTGAGCTGCATTCATAATCAGGTTTAGTCACGTTATTTAGACACAGTAGTCACACCCACTTGCATTCCCCTGTAAGTCAGTACCACCAGGCAACACAGGGTGTGCTATAGCAGTGCAGAATAACATGTCAGAACTTTGCTTCAGAACCACAGTGCTGAACCCTAATGCCTGCAAAAGGGCAGTACAGAGAAGCAGCATTCCAGTGGCACAAAAGATTTTACCAAAAACCGTCCCTTCACAAAACTCAGACAAAGCCTGTGAAGGTCAACCATAAAACTGGCACATGTAAAAACTATAGTTAAGAAGCAAGAGTGGAAATATCAAACACAAGCCTTCATACACAATGAAAGACACTTGCTTCAGCCCTCCCATCAGCTTCAACTGCTACACCTTTTAAATAAATAACCCACGAGATCGTCAAACAACGATTTCCCCTTCTGCATACAAGGGAAGTTCCTGAAGGAGAGAGCAAATTGAAAGTCACCATGAAGTGGCAGTAAACAGCTCAGGTAGAACCAATTCATGGTAACTTCAGACAATGGATTTTTCATAAGCAGATACCTCATATCCAAGAACAACTTCTCTCCTTTCTAAGTATGATTAGAAATTAAAACAGTAATAGAATAGGGTTTAAAACAATTTCAGTTGACAAGAATCCCACCAAACATAACTCGATAAGGAGACACAGATTTCCCTCAGATTTCAGAAAGTCTTTCCTATGCCATCACCTTTAGGTAAACAGCAACAGCCTGGTGGGAAAACAAAAACTTAATTTTTTTTTTAAGGGAATACATCTTTTTCTTAAATGTTTCATTCTTTATGAATGAAGAGAATAAATATTGGTATCATACAAACAGCAACAAAAAGGACATCAGTGAGCTAAAAAAGAAAGGTTAGGGGGTTTTTTGGTTTTGTGTTTTTTCTGTGGGTTTTTTCTTTTAATTAAAAAACAAAACAACAAAAAAAAAGCCACAAAAAAACCCCCACCACCTGGTAACATCAGCATTATCTATGAGCTGAAAAACCAGGCAAATAGCTGGATAGGAAATTCCAGAATCCACCATAAAAGATTAAAACACACTAGCACCCTTTGACAATCTTCACTGTCCTTGTATCATTTCCCTTCAGTACAGACAAATGCATTAGTAGGTATCCTAAGCACTAAAAAGGTAACAGTCATGGAACTGAAGGGGAAACAGAAACTACTTTGGGATTTGTGGCACGCTAGATGTGGCATGATTAATTTTACTTTGTGATAAGATATTTACATTCTTCAGTGCCCCTTTGCATTTTTGAGCTTTAGCACAATTGGTCAGCAAAAGTATATTTAACAGTCCTAACAGAGTGTTTCAGCCTTCAAGTACCCTTACTGTTCTTCAGGAACACCAGAGCAGAATGCGTTTCATTTGGCAACAAAACTGAGACTGCACCCTACTATGGAAAACTTGTTCTGGTTTCAATTCTTCTTACTAAGCTTGAATGTGATTACAGTTCCATTTTATGAAAGGTTGCAATATTTGACATGCTTAAACATAAAAGTTAATGTTTTATAGCCCCTTAGGATTTTAATAGATACCAAGAGTTTATCACATTCTTCTTTGAAACTCACATTTAAATTATTTAGTTTGACCCTTATTTCAAACAAAAATTACCTCAATCATTTCTGTGGGTTTTGCTAGCCTTCCATAAAGAAATGAGATTCATCCAAATAATTACGTAACTATTCTAAGCATACTTTCCCCTGACAACTATTTTAACAAATGTGCAAACTCCATCAAACCCTCAACATTGTTTTTTTTCTTTGTTTGCTTAATGAGAAAGGTTTTCCTCCAGCTGTTTTTCACTATCTGTCCAGTATGCTTGTGAGGCATTGGATCAGATTCCATTTTGGTTTTCCTACAGAAGATGTTTTTTTAGTATCATCCTTTCAGTAATTTTTTACCCAGTTGCAGGCAGATGAGAAGAATGTAAGTTCTTGTATGTAGAGTCATCTTAAATGTATTGCAAAGTGCCAGTTTTAGACAACTAACAAACTAAATGCCATTAAAAAAATTACATAAGAACTCTGTAATTTCTTAATCATGAGTTTACCTTCCTCTTAACTGTTCTCTACATGGTCACTTATTCCCCTGGAATGTTTTCCCATAGCTATTGCAATACACAGTAAGTTTCACTATTTTGTTTCTGATGACAATGAAAACCTGACTTTTTTGTCAGCAGTACAAGCACACATAAATAAGAACAATATTACCCTTGTATCAACTTTTTTACTTTTTGACAGGCCTAGCAAGTACACTTTTGCTATTTAGGCTGCCTGAAGGCTGCTTTAACAACCTGAACCTGCTTTACAAAACTTCAGCCATAGCATGTTGAATACTCCACACAAATAGGCAAAGAAAGAAATCTCTCCTGATTTTCCAGTGCCAAACAGCAGAGAAGGTCATTGGTCAAATATATTTACTAACAAAATAATGATTGTTTATTACTTACATTGTACTGCATACGATGCCAGGACAACAGCAGAACTAATGGGGCATGACAACCTGGAAAGGAGATGAGATTTTTATGAGGCTCTGGACATTACTTTAATAGTTGCATTCTGGTTTATTTAAAACTAGACATAAACACTAAAATTAGCCAATGCCGAGCACAAAGACAGCTCTTATCTTATGACCAAAACTGGCTCTATAGAAGAAAAAAACCAAATCCTAAATGCAATTTACGTTTGGCAGAAGTACTTGGACTATCTTTCTCCCCCTTTTTTTTTTTTAAAATGTACAAACACACAGGAATTGCAGCCAAAGGAACTACTGGGTATATACCCACCATATAGGTAATATAACCCTGAAATCAGAAGAAACGATAGTATGAACTGCTCTTTGCTACTCCCTCCTGCTTACCACAGTGGATAGTTGGTCCCACGTGGAATTCCATGCCTGTCACACCAAATCTTGCATAAATATCTATTCAGCTAACATTGTGCCTCCAGACACATGGTATCTCCTACAGCTCATTTACAACAGACTTCTCAAATGTTCTTAATGAGTGAGCTATGTGACAATTTGTAACATTTCCTAGCAATTTAATTTTCCCTTAAAGCAATGTTTCACAAGGCACATTTTTATAGCAACAATACTCTCAGAAAAAGGTATTTTTATTTTATTTTTAAAATAATTATAGAGAAATTGAAGATTCTTCTTCTTACCTTCCTTCTGCAATATCAATCTTCAATTGCAGAAAGAATAAGTGCCTAGAAAAGGTATTTTAGGAAAAGAAAAAATGTACATTTATTTTAAAAGGTATGGTTTAAATGGCTACATATATTAGTTTTATTTTATTAGATATCTCAGCAAACTATACAAACAGATGAATAAAGATTAGTGGCATTGGCAAATATGCAATCATACACCCACTTAGTCCGATAAAAGTTTTAAAGATCTTTGGCAGTCTGTACTGCAACTCCAGGATCATAGTATTAATGTCACAACTAACACTACAAAAACCAAACCACTACAGAACTGGGCTCTCTTTCTTCCTGGAATATTGACTTTGAATGCAACATTAAAAAAAACCAACAAAAACAAACAAACAAAAACCCAAAAAAACCCAATCAAGATAGACTGTGAAAGCCTATCTTGCAACAACTCAATTGAGAATGAGACATTTCTCTAGCAGTATATGATGACAAAAAGCTCTTAAACAATTCTCCAAGAGCAGTTCAGTCTTACTCTTATTAGTGTATTTGACAATGTTACTTTTTAGTGCTACTGAAGAAATGAGATATGAAGAAGCATAAAGAACGGATCACCAAATAATTTCAGGTTTAAACTGCAGAGCAGCTTAAAACTGCATGATTAACAAATATCAAAACAGGTCAATAGTTATTTATATTCTCAAGACACTGAAACCAACAAGCAGTGAAAATGTTACAAAAATACCAGATTAATGGGTGCCCTCAAATTCTAAATTCCATATCAAAGGCACTGAACAAAACAAGTATTCAGTTAAAATCTTGTGACAAATTAATTGAAAATTGCTTATAATTCATGTACCCCATCAGAGACAGGTAAAAAAAAAAAGGTCTACTGTAAACCAAAGGACTATAGATCTTTGCATGTTACAAGTGTAATGGGCAAACTAGGAAACAAGAACTGTTATCTGTTCTTCCTGAAACAAAATAAACCCCACCCTTCCACACCCTTGGCATTAAATCTACTGCACATGTTCAAAACTGACTCAATGTTGATACAAAACTTCTAAGATAGATCTAGGGCATGCAGGCTCAAAAAACCCCAAAGAATTCAAGGTGCAAATAAACCAACTGACATCTTTGTACTTGCTTATATTCCTACTGTATTTTGGAGTTGTAGGCTGTGTGTAGCAGAAACCACTCATCAAGCTGTCCAATCCAAACACATTTAATATTAAGAGTTATACAAAGTTATTTATGTAATAGAGCATAGTTTGCAAAGCTTTGGACATGTGAAAGGAGGGCTTTACACATTCCTAGTTCATGGAAGCAAACAAAGAGAAGTTACCTGGTTTGTTCTTGCTGAAGTGTGTTAGGATCAGGTATAAAAAACCTTACACGAAAACGAAGGGTGCAGGGAAAACCTCCTGCAATATTTTAGAAGAGCAAATAAAATTTTTAGTTTAAAACAGAAAACAGTTTTAATTTCTATATTTACAGAAAAATTACCTGAACAACCACAGGGAAATCTCATGTATTTTTCTCATGAAACTAAAAGAAACTATGAGAAGTCTCTCCTGATCCCCTAACACCAACTTTGAGAAGAAAACACTCAAATGCTGTAATGCTTTCATTTAAAGTACTTTGTATATGCTACTTTGCATAAAAAGTGTTATTAAGGTACCTTTGCCTCATAAGTATTAGAAGAGAGAAAAGAACCAAATACGCTTAAGGTGTCTCAACTGGCATAACGCTTAATTCTATCTTACATATAAATACCTGACATTACAGAAGTTCACCATGCTAACCTTGTGTATGAATTGAAAAAAACAAACAAACAAACATAATCTGTAACACAGGGTAAAAATAAGAGAGCTGAAAAGCATAGCTCAAGTGCCACAGCATAAACTGCAATAGTGTCACTCAGTCCTCCTAAGTTGCTATATGGCACCATCATGCTGGCCCACCTGTACTTCTTGGTAAGCATTCTGTGTTACCCAAAGCTGTTTATAAACAAGACACGCTAGAAAAACACATACACTTGGAAGTGTGTGGTGTTTTTTGTTTCATTAGTTTTTAATAAAAAAGCAAAAATTTGTTTTTTCTTGCTGTACTTGAGACAAGAAATTGCCATACATGAAATTGGTTATGCTTCCCTCAATCAAACCCCTTCTTCCTTATCTTCCCTATCAGAAGGAATTTACTGGCACAACAACATGACTGCTGCTTTCATGGTCATGAAGTCTAACACTGCTCAAAAGCCAGGTTTAGATGCTATTACAACATCAAAGTTAGTGACCTAGCAGGTCAGATAGGAGTAAGGAGTAGTAGAAAGCTCTCTTGAAGAGACTGGCAGAGATAAGACTTGTTCCTGATGAAAATTTGCCATCTGGACAAACTGCATTTTTTCTAATCATAAGAACACAGAAAACCAGGACTACAAAGTTACAATCAAGATATTAAAAACAAGTCTTACCTTTTAACTGTTTTCTAATAGGTTTGCTTGGTTCAAGCCATCGCTGTGAAATGAAAAACTATTAGATGGATTAAAATATTTACAAATAAATACTGTTTCTTTATGTGCATGTGTGTGCATGAATATGTGTGTATACATATATGTGTATGCACATATGTATATATATTTATACATACATATACATGCACACACATTTATTATTAACTGTACTTACAGGTGAATCTACTGAAGTTTCATTTTGCTGTAAACCAAAGTATTCCTTCTCCGTCACACCCAACTGGTTATAGGTCATATCCAACAAAATCTGTCCAGTGTCTTGTTTCTGAAAATGAGAAAACCTTAGAAGTGAAACTCTGCAACTCTTATACATTTTAAGATACAATTAACCAAAATATCTTTTTTTGAATGTAACTCATGAATAAAAATAGCTGCTAATTCATCAATTCAAAGTTTCTCAGCAATAAAAACTTTTTTCTGATAAAAGTTTGGTTTTCTTTCCAAAATACATTAAGCACATGAAATTTCCGAATGTGAACTGACACGTATTGCAGCCCTTGAGGGGGGGGGCAGCAATTTAATTGTAAGCAGACCACCCCTCTCTTGCCCACAGTGGGAGCAATGCCCTTCTCTGGAGTGGTAGCCTGCAGGGATGGCTTACAGACACATGAGGTTGCTCTGGCCCCTGCTGTCACCACCAGCACACTCTGTTTCCACATCATCTGCCAAAAGGTAAGTGAGTATACACTAGGATGGGGGAAAAAAGAAGGAGGATGCTGTGCTCCAACCATAAGATCCTGTACTTCAGCCTGTACTCTCCCCTGCCTCTCCGCCTTCACATGCTCAGCTGTCATTCAGTGACCCCATTTTCTGCATAGATGTCTCTCGTGACAGGTATCAGAGAAGAATTGGTGCAACAGGAAATTACAGGCAGCAGAAATCAGAAGTGTAAGGTATAATTTTTCCCAAACCAAAAAGGATCTCCACGCCATGGCATTGTGGAGAACAGATTAACCAACTTTTACCACAGAACTCTGTGAACCAGTCCTATTAAAAAAAACAAACCAACCATCGCAAAAAGAAACAAACAAAATCCCCTCAACAAGACTGCAATCCTAAATATGCTAATAAGTAGCTTGCTGTATTGGGTCTGTGTGGCCAGGTTCTGGTAGCAGGGGGACTACATGGGTGGCTTCTGTGAGAAGCTGCTGGAAGTTTCCTTAATGTCTGGTAAAGCCAATGCCAGCTGCCTTCACGACGGACTCGCCACTGGCCAAGGCCGAGTCAATCAGGGATGATAGTGATGCCTCTGTGCTAACATATTAAAGAAGGAAAAAAAAAACGTATTGTGCAGATGTAATTGTGGCCAGAGAAGAGTGGAGTGAGAATATGTGAGAAGAATAGCCCTGCAGACACCAAGGTCAGTGGAGAAGGATGGGAAGGAGGTGCTCCAGGCACCAAAACTGAGGTTCCCTTGCAGCCCATGGTGCAGACCATAGTGGGGCAGCTGTGCTCCCACAACGCATGGAGGTCCACGGGGCTGAAAAGATCCACCTACAGCCTGTGGAGAAGACCCACGCCAGAGCAAGTGGATGCTTGAAATAGGGCTGTGAGCCCATGGGAAACCTGTGCTGGAGCAGGGTCCTGGCAGGGACCTGCTGACCCATGGGCAGAGGAGCCCAAGCGGGAATAGATTTCCTGGTAGAACCTGTGGCCCTGTGAGGTCCCACACTGGAGCAGCCTGTGCCTGAAGGATCGCACCTCATGGTAGAGTGACCCGTACTGGAGCAGTTCGTGAAGAACTGTTGCCTGTGGGATGGACTTACACTGGAGAAGTTCATGGCGGACTGTCTCCCATGAGAGGGACCCTACACTGGAGCAGAGGAAGAACTCTTCTCCCTGAGCAGTGGCAGGAACAATATGTGATGAACTGACCATAACCCCCATTCCCCGTCTCCCTGCACTGCTGGCGGGGAGGAGGTAGATCCTGGAAAGGAGGGATGAGTGGGGGGAAGATGTTTTTAAGATTAATTTTACTTCTCATTATCCCACTGATTTTGTTAGTAACAAATTTAGTGAATATCCCCAAATTCAGCCTGTTTTGCCCATGACAGTATTTGGTGAGCGATCTCTCCCTGTCCTTATCTCAACTCATAAACCTTTTGCTATAATTTCTCTCCCCTGTCCAGTTGCAGAAGGGAGTGATAGAGCAGCTTTGGTGGGCAAATGACATCCAGTCACAGTCACCCACCACACTTGCAAAACTGTATGGCATCTTAGCTCTAGATTTTTAGGTACAGAATTGCTAGATAGAATAAAAATCAGACTAGTTTGCTTCATATTTTTTCTATTCAAGAAAAATCACAGAAAACTAAATTTTTCAAATTAGTTTGAGTGAGATTTTTCCAAATCTCACCCTTAAAAGCAGAAACAAATGGCACACATTTAAAAAAAAACAAAACAAAAACAGACCAAAACAAAAAACACAACCAGAGGAAAAATTATTTAGACTGTAAAAGACAAGCACTTTGTTCTGGAACAACCTTCTTAAAACCTGAGCTCTGGCTTCATCAAGTTCTGATTTTTTGAACAAATTTCTTAATTTTTAAAAATAATCTCTTGAAACAAAGGACTTCATGTACAAGTGTGATAGTGACAACATTTTTGTGGGTGGTCCTTGTCTTGCTCAGTTCACAAGAGTGTCTACTTAATAAGCCAACCCAATTCTTTGCTTAGACCTTTTTTATTATACAACAGTTTAGTAAGTCCAATTCAGAAGACAGATTTCTATTATTTTTATAGGGTACCACACTGTTGTGATTGAGGGTTTTAAACTAATATATTCCATAGTCTTCCCTTATCTCATAGAAGCACTCTTCCTACTTAAAAAGACGGGAAAAGAAAAACAAAAATTCAAGCTAAGGACACCCACTTGGCCCACCTTATCTTGGAGCATGGAATATTATCCAACATTTTCTACTGCTAGAGTAGAACTCCTAGCATCTTATTTGTGACTTGAACGCTCAGTGTTACTACCTCAGGCTGTTGGCCTCCTGTGAAAAGCTGTGCCCATTTTTCGAGTAAAGTCACATGTGCAGAAAACAATGTAGGCAACATTCAACTGTTGAGAGTACCCATTCCCCTCCAGCAGTCTCCCATCTTGTTTAACTTTTACAACAAACAACTGAGGTCTCACAATAAATGTGAATCCACTCAGGCCTGCAGGGCTGTGTGGGCACTAAAAGCAGCAGCTCTGTCCCCTCCTTCTTCCCCAGCTGCACATTCCCACTCCTCTCCTTTCAAACAGGCTACCATTCCATAGGATAGTAAAACCATGATAGATCAAACGCCATTTTTAAATGAAATAGCATAGGCCTAGATTTCAGCTTAGAAACTGAACTCTTGGCAACAGGTGAGGATCACATGACCATGCATTCCTTGTCACACAAAGCCATGGCACCATGCACCTGTCAGGCAGTTCTGTCCAGCACAATCAATGAAATTGCCTTCACAATAAAGACTGAGATTTGCCCATCAGAAATTATCCCTATATGTACACAAGAGGGCCCTACGGAAACAGCAGATGCCACCCTAACCCTCTGAAATAATGGGCATTTCCTGACATACATAAGTTCATCTTTAGCACTGCCTTAGCATATATACCATATTCATTTCCCCAGGGTTGGGTTTTTAAAAGCAAAATGTAAAGACACTTCCAAGTGACACCACATGACACCTGCAAAACAACAACAATTGCACCACCTATGCTGCATACTTTTGACAGGACCTAAATGAGCAACTGAAGTTATATTGTGACTAAGAACAGTAATTACAGGGGCTGGGACAGATACTTTGTTGAAAGAAGGTGCCCAGGAATCTCAGGTTTCATTTCAAATTGGGCAGGACAAGACCACAGAGGGCAGATTCTTCTGCTAATTTTTGGTTTGAATTTCAACAGTTCTTATTCCTTTTGGTCTCCTTTCTCTGCAACAGCATTTTCTCCTAATTTCCTTCTATTTTTTCATGCTTCCAGTCCTTCATCCCAATTCACATGCCTTCACCTTCTCTCTCCTCACCCCCTCACAATTGCATTACCCTTCTTCCCCAGCATACATGAACTGCTAAGCCTTCTCATTGCTTACCTATAAGCAAGCTCCCTGCTATGATATTCCTGCTCAGCAGTCACAGTTCTCTCTGCAATATTCCCATGGGTCTCCTAATCCTAAAACCAGCTGCTCAGCCAGTACTAGACTCATTCACCTACATACCTACTATTTACTTCTCTTCCTAGGAAACATGGAGATGTTTCCTAGAAAAAAAATAATTTCTATCACTACTTTTATGTGGTTACAGTTCTTGCCCTCTGATGTTAAATGCACAAAGTTGCTTTCACAGTGCCTAGATCAAGCACCCACTCCAGAAATCTAAGCTAAGATGTCCTTTTAAATTGTTCAAGTCTTCTGTTAAAATTTCCAAAGATAAAGGTTTTTGTTGTTTTTTAAGGACATGTTTATTTCCTTTGCTTTGGCATTATTTTAAGAAACACCTGAATTACTTTTCAGCCTATATACCTGAAAATGACCCCACAGCTCATGCTGCACAATCTTCAATCTAGTTTGCCCATAAACAGTTTTGAGACCTAAGTGTAAAGTGAGGCAGGCTAAGGATGTCACATCACCGCTTTTGAATTTTGATATGCTTTCCAATACAGATCATGGCCACAACATATTCTAATATTACTATGTGTCAATATTACAACACATATTTTCACTCCCCTGTGCCATAGGAAGAGGGTAAAACAACATAAACAGTGCTCAGCTATACTGGGCATTAGAACTAAGTTCTCCTTAACCCTATCAACCATTAGAGCAAGTAGCTAAGACACTCCTAACAAAGTTCTTGCCTTTCTACAGTGAGATTAAAAAAATTATGCACTCTCGTCACTAGCCTACACTGTTACAATGACACAAGTTCTTAAGATAATTTTAAGAATTTTGAAGTTTTTTAGTGAAAAGAAACATTTTCAAGAAGTTCGCATGTTTCTACTCTGAAAAGAATTTTCCATCTCTTTCACCTCCACAACATCTACTAATCCTTATTCTGAACTGTTAAAAGCTTTGTATCAGCCACCTCATAACCACACATTATTCACCTCCATTTAAATCTGTCTTCAAATCAATTACAATTTATGATGGATAGGCCAAATATTAATATTTAAAGCAGTCATAATTAGCACCTATTACATTCTAACCGTGTCAAAAAGATTTTCTACTATATTTAGGGAATTTAGATTAGTCAAGTTCAATGTTTAGTAAGTCAAACAAT